AGCTGAGGCTGCTGCAAGGGGGCGTGGACCAGAGCGCGGCCTTGGGTCATTTGCATATTTTCATTTAGCTTTACACTCGGCGACTAGATTTAGATTTAATATTTAGATTTAGATTCAACATTTAGATTTAAATGTAACATTTATCTTTTAAACTTAAGATTGATATATATATTTTTTTTTACATATACACATTGTCAACAATTAAATATAGCATGTTGTTTTACATGAATTTCTGTCTCAAATCAGAAGAAAATGAGCTTAATGTGAGGAAAGTGAGCTAAATATTCAAAGTATATCAGCTAAAAAATTGTAACAGAATTTTTACATTCGGCACCCCATATGATTCAAGCTGAGAGGCCAGATTTATAGTGATATACAGTATAAGGTTATGTGGTATCTACTCAGTAACAATATTTGTCATGAGGGAGTCTATATTGAGCTGTTGTGGTGGAGGATTTAGTTCCTACAACCCCATATCACCTCTGCTGGAACAAAGCCTTAAACAACACTCTAACAGGATTCAAAATTTCTTTGATCTTTTGGCAAACATTTCTCATTGTCATCACTGATATGAATATAGTAAATGATTTGGATGGTGTAATTGAAGGACCTGTGTCATTGGAATTACCAGAACAAAAAATTACGCAATAGTTGGATGTTTTGGTGACTGAGGCCAAACAGATTGTTATGTACTGACTGGTGACTTGACTTGTCCTTCGCATTTGACCATACGCAAACAAGTGGAGGAACATGGTCATCATGAGCATGTTGTTTTTCCTGATAACTTATGACTCAGTTTGAAAGACGCATAATACTGAGCCTTGATTGTGAGAAGAACCTACATACACTGGCCTGTGTGCTCCTATTATATTGTTAAGAATGCATTTGTTCCTTTTATTAGATATTCAAACATGAAGCCAAGGGCCCAGTCTGCTTTCAAACCCAGAACAGTTGTATGTAATACATTAATACAGCAATTAAAACCAACAGAAACATGATTTTTAATGCAATATTTGTATCATATAATCTTTCTGTCATGATGTTGTTTACAGTGTAATGGAGAAGATCTTAATGAGATGAAATGCTATCCTCTCACCTCCGTGCATGGCATCTAGTCTTATTTTGATGTGGTTCTCTCCAGACAGAAGCTCCTTCAGGGCCGCGAAGTCAAAGATATTCCTCAACAAGTTGGCGTAGGATTCCACTGAGTCCACAATTTCCACTGGACAAAACCACAAATGAGAACAAATAATGTATCAGTCGTCAGTGACTCTTTGATTTGAGCTTGTGTTTTATCTCAGTAGTCAATCAAATGAGTCAGAATTTATGTTTGATCTCAGAGAGTTAGTACTTTTTTTATATATGCAACAATAAAAGGAAAGTTTTCAGTGCTCTAGAAAATTTTTCTCTCCCATTCCCTCTGTCTTTTCCTGATCTGAAGTGCTGGGATAATGCGACACTTCACCTGTGAAGGGTTTGAACTTGTTCTCCAGATCAAACATCTGTTTTCCCAGGGTTGTCAGATCCACTCGAAGTCCAGGGCAGATGGCAAACTCCTCGATGGTTCTGCTGATTTGGAAGATCTTGTTTGTGACAGCCTCTTTTGCCGGTCCTAGATGAAGTAGATATTATATTTATGGTTTAACACTGATGGTCAGATGTAGAGTACTGTAAAAGTAAAGACGGGTGACAAATGAAAGGGAAAATAAGATGGAGTCATCCTGGAAAGGACCGCTCCCATCAGGATAGAAATGATTCATCATAGGATAAAAGTCATCACTCAGAACAACTTTGTATTTATTTGCAGTGACCCTTCACTCTAAAGGGACAAATGGACCTAAACCATGTCAGCAAAATGGCCCCCACTGCATAACAGAGCCACCAGATCCCCTCACTGTAGGGGTCAAGCATTCAAGCATCCCTCTCTATGTAACCGTCAACGCCTGTTCTCACTTACACAGTCCGGTCACGTCCTGCATCGACATTCTCAGTCACCTGAGGACAAATTGCTCTTGTGTTTTTCCTTACACAAGCACAATGCCTTTTCCACAGATCTGAATGCAGATGTCACTTTAGTCATTGTTCCTACTCAAACATGAGCTAGTTGAGCATCTCTGACTGAAGCTCCTGCCATCTGTGCCCCAACAATGAACCCTCTTTTAGAGTCAATCAAATCTTTTCCTCTTGTCATCTTGATACAAAATCAGAATCAGTCTGCTCTGCATTTTTTATACATGATGCCACAAAACATGACTGGATGTTAACTGCTTATTTGTATCATGCAGTGCACCTGTGTGGAAGCATTTGCATTCATTATGTTTCTCCACTCATTTATTCAGGTTTTTCCTTTGTGCCACATGTCTGAATGAGGCCTTGTACAGCCTTTTTCAATGTCTGACTTCTCTTGTGTCACTATTTTGCACTTGGCTGATGACCCTGCATGAGTCCTCCTCTCCAGTTACCATACCTCCATTGACAGTATTGAACTTAATGCCAAAGTCTCCATCAGGTCCACCGGGGTTATGGCTAGCAGTGAGGATGATGCCTCCGATGGCTTTGTATTTCCTGATCACACAGGAGATGGCCGGCGTGGACATTATCCCGTGGTGTCCAATGATCAGACGACCCACCTGAGGAAATGTCACACAGGTGGGTGTGAGATGGCTGGCATGACTGTGTATCTTAATATATCCGAGTGGGGGAGGGGTGGGAATACCACTCGATATCATACTTCTTCCTAAAGGTAAGCGGGGTTAGGATTTTGTTTAATGAACCACAGTTACGGCACACCAAGAGCAAGTTAGGTCGTGTGTGAGTGTATTTTGAATCCCACTGAGTATACCATCCATCCGAGAAAGCATCAGACGCTCAAAGCTCATGATATTTAAACCTGAGGACCACAGGGAGCTCATGGCTTTAGCTGGCAAGAGAATGGAAAACAAAACAGGTTTCATATGTTTCTATTTGAAGCTTTGCAGTTGCAGCAGCAGCTACCTAGAGTTATGGCTAAAAGGCAGTATTCATCCTTCAATTTCACAGTGTTACATTGTTCTGCTGTTGTGTTGCATTATACGTTTTTCTGTCAGTGGTCTTGTATTGCTTGTGGCTCACAGATACTGGCCATGCACACTTAGTTGGTTGCTCAATAGGAGCAAATGCCTCTAATCCAACAGTCCTGTAATAAATCCCTCTTCATGGGTTAGGGTTATAATATGCAGTTTTTGTTGAAATTGTCTTGTCGTTTTGGATACTGCAGTTTTGGGTGCTGTTAAATAGTATTGTGTTATATGGACAGGTGTTGCTATTATTTTGTCCTCCCCATTTATATCAATGAGGGAAGGCTACTTAACAGAGACACCTCTCTGTATAATGTAATACAGTGCAGCAGTACAAACTGCAGAAGGAGCATTTATTACAGGACTGTTGTATTAGACTCCATTAGTTTCAGCTAAATGTTCTGAATAACAACAAAGTGACAACTAAGTGTATTTTAATTAATCATTGAAGTTGATAAAAGCATTAGCAAACTGCTACAAGTTATTGGTTGTAATTTTAACTAAAGGATATTATGGCACTAGATGAAAAATGAAAGGTTTATCAAAGGTACCAGAAGTCATCCATAGAGTGGCATTTTATGGCAATTCATCTGATAGTTGATGAATGAGATGAATGAGTGTAAACTATAAACAATATTTTACCTTTCATTTAACTTAATTATGTTTTGTATAATAATGTAATATACTAAAGAAGTTCCAATCATCTGTTTGGATTTCTCTTCTGTTTTGTTTACCTTTGGATTAAAAATTATACCTTTAACTTGTTGGATCTAGGATACATATCTTTTGATTCCAGATATTCATAATGCTTCCATGTGTCAAAAACTGCAAGTGAATTCTAATACAACATGAAGCTGGTAGAACCAATGACAACAAAGTGATAATAACAGGTGATCAGGGCAAGTGACACTGACATACGTGAAGTGATCTGCACACAGTGACATCGGCCCATGTGCTCAACCACCCACACACTTACCAGCATGCATACACACACACACACACACACACACACACACACACACACACACAAACACACACAAGGCGAGTAAATACACACACATGGTGACACTGACCCCATTGGCAGCTGCCATCTGCACAATGACCTCAATAGCTGTTTGGTTAAAGAAGCGTCCGTCTCCCCCCACCACCACTGTTGAACCCTGGCGGTCACGTAGGTCAATGGAGGAGAAGATACTCTGGATGAAGTTGTGCAGATAGTTCCTCCTGGACTGAAATACAAAGACCCTTTTCCTCAGGCCACTGGTGCCGGGTCTCTGGTCAGGGTAGGGGGCTGTAGGGACAGTCACCACCTGCAGAGGACTGTTGTCCATTGTTTCAAAATGAAGATCCAAACTAATGCGGTGGCGTAAAGAGCTGGGGAACCTGTTGTTTTGAGGGAAATCCCCCTGTCAGTGGACATAGGGAATGGTACACAGCAGGGGCAGAATGGGAGGGTAAAATCCTGACTCCTCCTATTATTTCACTGGAAGCACAGGGTCACAGTGGTGCTTCTGCAGCCCAAAATAACCCTCCGAACTAATGTGTGTGCAGAGGCAGTAACTGAAGACGCTCCTTCACACATGTGCCAGGAGATCACTGTCAAGGCTGCAGGCCCAGTCACAAAGACGTGTGTGTGTGTGTGTGTGTGTGTGTGTGTGTGTGTGTGTGTGTGTGTGTGTGTGGGTGTGTCTGGTGTCTGACTGGAAGTTACTGAGTTGTTATGGGAGCAATTCATCCATCTGTTAAGGGTTGCAGCTGTGCTTGGAGTAATGATATGCAAAAAGAAGGATGGCATCTCTCATCGAAGATGCACTTGGTGCTATTTTAGGAGAGGATATTTACCCTTTTTAAAAGTTGTGTGTGAGAACAGAGAGCGTAAGGAGCAATTAGAGACTAATTAGGAGCACATACTGATATAGATATGTGGTTTTAAGAAAGTGTCTGTTGACACAACAAAAATAATTTATTGAATCTAATTATACAAGCAGCTGAATCAAATCAGTAGAAGGTTATCTGCATGAGACAGAACAACACTGCCCTCTAGAGTCTATTCAGGGCACCTTATAACACAGTACAATCACACTACAACCTCCCAGTGCAACATACAGACAGTTTTAGTATGTAGTAATAGCGTGAACTTGCATTAGTCATTTACTAGACTTTGGCATCAAAACAAAGTTGACATTACTCTATTACGTAAGTACCAAACAATTGACAGCCCAAGGTAACAAATAGGACATTATATATGTTTTTGAATATAAGCATTGAATGAAGTCACCATCATTCTTTTATTTTTTCAAGTTAAATAAAATATAGCAAATGTATCAAAAATAGAGTATGTAAAGTAAAGATGAGTGTTATCTATAGCAGTGGCTACTAACTAATCCCTCAAAATGAAACAATGTCTATCTGGGACCCCTTGTCATTCATTGCGGGTGTTAAACTGTAACTAGTGAGATTTCACATTGTTGCTTCTGAATCATTTTTAGAGGACAGAAGGGATCAATCTGTGCACAGTACACTTGTGTACATTTCACTAGACAAAGACACAATTAATAAAGAGTCAGAACTATGTTTTGTAGTCTTTTATATCCTGTTAATTCTCTCCCTTAGATGTATCTTGTGACCTGCTCAATGGGTCTCCCACCTCCCGTGTTGGGAACCACAGCAGTACACTGTGAGTCAATGTGACCCAATATAAAAACTGCTCATATATGGCTGTCTGTTTCAGTTTCCTCTCTGTAACCTTTGATGTCTGCGATACTGTGAGTGAAGATAGATTTCATGCCATGGTATGAGGTTCTTAACAATAAGCTAACAGCATTTCAGTGTATATTAGATTTCAGTATACATTTTGATGTTCTACGACATTAGAAACTACATGCACAGCATCCTGGCCATAGGACGTAAGTCATTCTTTGGGCTTTCTGTTTATGACACAGGAGTGTCCTATGTAACTACCTTAAATCTATTAGGACTTGTCAGCTTCCTCGCTGCCCAAGTCTTCTAAAACCATGGCTGCTGACAAAAAGCATTGCCACGGCTCTCCTGAAGAGGCCGCTGTTTGATGCTGATTGTTTTGAGTATTTTCACTGGAGACTGTTGGTACCGGATCAGAGAAAGATGCCTGTCTCAGAGGAAGCTGAGGAGGAGGAAGGTGGAGCTACAGGGTAGACAGAGATCTGGGTGAGCTTGAGGAAGTAGGGAGCTTTCCGGGCAGGCTTCCATTGAATCCCTCTCCGACGCTCTGAACGCCCCTTTGGTCTCATGTGGAAATATCTCCCATTCAGGTTGGTGTCTCCGCAGGCGTTGAACCACCATCCGCCTGGAAGATGGCAGAAATTACATGTTGTGCAGCTGATACTAGATGACAAGTGTTCATGAATCCCCTTATTTGCATAACATTGGGATAAAACATCTGCTGTACCTGTGTAACTGTGGGCACAGTTGAGGTCCTGGTGCTTGTCATTGTCCCTGTCCTTGGTGGAGAACATCATGCCCGTGTGGTTGCTGATGGGGTCCGGCAAATCTCCAGACAGATGTGTGAGGTGAATGGTGTAGTTGCTCTCTGGACCGTCAAGGTAAAATCTGTATTCGATGAAGCGTCTCACCTGTTTCCAATCTTCCAGCTGGAAGTGAAGAACAGAGTCGCCCTGAGCGGCTAGAGAGCGGATCTTCCTGAGACCCAGCCAAAACTCTCCTGTCAGAGAGAGAGAGAGAGAGAGAGACATCAGAGCTGGTGTAACAAACGCAGACATGATGTACACAAACTCATATACAGAGCTGCAGAAATAAGGTTATAAAGTAGTTGTGGATTTGGCAGCTGAGAATTCATTTTCCAACATTTCTAACATTAATTGCGCACACAACAGTGTCTGTTACCTTGAAAATATCCAAACCCATTTTCATACTTCTCCCAGGTTTGATCAAAATTCACTGAACCATCCCTCCTCCGCTGGATGACTGTGACTCCGTAGTCTAAACAGAAAAAAAGAAAAAGAAAAGTGGATCACCTCATTAGAATTTATGATCTTTAAAATTGTCATTAATCAGTTTTTTAAAAATGCATTCAGCAATAGACATTCAACAGACAGGAATTTACATTCTGTTGCATTCTTTTAACTTATTGATCTCAGCCTCAGTGTTAACTGTTCACTCTCACACAGCTGTGTCACAGCTGCATTAAGTCACTACTAATGCAAACTGCATATTTGCTACTGCTGCTGCTTTACATTAAAAATGAAATGACTACTTTAGTGAAGACAGACAGTTGGACTGATCAAAAATTAACACGCGATCCTTGAAAGGAGTTTGTCGTACCTTTGCTCATGTCACAAAAGGCCATGAAGGGCTCTGATCCGTTGGGTCTGATGGCGTAGACGCCGCTGGCTCGCTCCCCTCTGCTGAACAGCTGGCTGCAGTCTGATGGCAGGTCTGTGGAAAAATGACCACAAACTTGACGTCAAACTTGAAACTGTCCTGAATAAAGTTTAGCTGCAAAGTGGTGATCTGGAGCAGAGAAGCTAATGCACACGTGACCAGAGAGTTCATATCAGCAGCATTAATGGGGTGTGCAGGATAATTGATTGCTCAGTAAGTAGTGACACTGTGGATGTAGCAGGCAGCTCCCTGCCGTGACAGTATGAAGCTGTATGAATATGAGGCAGAAAATTGTTGGAAATTGCCTGGACACATTCTTAAATCATGAGCAGTGACACAGAAGGACTGAATACTTAATCTAAGTCCCTGCTGACGGTGTATGTCAAATAAAAGGTTCCAAATCCAAATATGACTCTCAACATTTCCTCCATCTTACTCATCATTTCGGGGTTGCTGGTCGAGCTTGAGGTCAGAAAAGGGGTGAGTGTTGGTGCTTCACTGTTGAAGTTTTCAGGCATCCTCTCAATGGTGTCCTGGGCTAATGTGTTGGCTGTAAGCTGGGGAAAAATTGTAGGGGAAACACTTTAGCTTGCAGATATAATCCTTGGACTGACACTAGAGGAAAAACTGTGGGTTATGTTATTCTGCAAAAGTAGAAATTTTCCAAAGTTTTTGATTCATTTTATTGTAATAATCTGAATTTTCAGCTCTCAAGAATCAATGCAAATGTATTCTATCACTGAGGCACAGGCTGAGATTATTCAGAATATGGACAGCTCCTTCATCATGTCTGCACTCTTCAAAGATTTAAAGTCTAAATTACACGGCACAGTAGCATGACTCCATTAAAGCTTCTTTCTACCAGAGCAGTCGGTGCAGTGCCATGATGATGACAGCTCATAACTCAAAAGGCAGCAAAAATAATCGTAGGAAACTGATGGAGAAATGCATAGTTAAAGGGCTGTATGAAAATTTGTGTGTGTGTGTGTGTGTGTGTGCGTGAGTGGGGAGGTGGGGTGAGTGTGGGGGTGAGGGGCAAGGCCCTCCCCCCATTAACAATTATTTCTTTGGCCCCTCTCCTCGACAATGAAAACCCTTGTTCCAAGTACCTTAGAAATATTACAATAATAACAACATAACAAAATGTTGCAGTGTTAAATATTAACCTTAAAGTCTTTTTTATGGTGTAACTATTCGATTTTTTTTCTTTAATTTACAAAGTAAATATCATAAAAGAAGAATTAATCAAGGTAAGAAAGTCCCTAACATCTACCTTTTCCTCCAGGATCTTGATCTTCGTCTTCTGGTGGTTGATCTGGTCGTTCTGCTCCTTCACAGCGTTTAGCAGCTCAATGATGCTCTGCTCCTGGCTGTTGATCACGTCCTGCTCGTGGAAAAAAGTAGGAATTATGGGATCTGTTACACAATGGTGTTATTTAATTGTTAATATTATAAGAAATTCTTTGAGTCGGTATAGAAACAAAGTATAGTTAAAGATAAAAATATATTCTACTTCTTACTAACAACTACTTTCTTGGCACCTTGTTAAAGGTTGAATCAAGTGCAGGTTTCGACAACAGGTGACTCACCCTGAGGCCATTGATCTCTGCCACTTGATCGCTGGTCACCAGACCGTGCGACAGAGTGCTCAGCTTCTTCTCCAGGCCCTCCACTTTGTTCTGCAGTTGACTCTTCTCCTGCATGATGTTTTCCATCTTGGAGTTGATCTGAACAGACAGGTCTTTGATCTCGTCATTGTTGGCCTTCAGCACCACAGTGGTCTTCTTCAGCTCCTCCCCTTCCTCCTTGATTTCACTGGCGAGCACTGACAGCTGGTAGAACGAGTGGTCGAAGATGTTGAGCTTCTGGAGGATGTCATTTATCTGTCCCTTCGTCCTCTGCACGAACTCCCGCAGGCTCTGGCCCAGCTGGAGGAGGCCGTTCGCCAGGAGACGCACGTCATCCAGACCAGCAAATCGGGACCGGGTTTCAGCCGGCGCCCCGGGCTGGAGGACAGGAGTTTCCTCGTTGCCACAGAGGGCAGGGACACAAGTAGCAGACAGAACAAACAATACGGGAATTAGTATGGTTCTCATGTTGTTGTCTTGATGCTTCACCGGCTGTGTGTTGATGGTGTCAGGCAGCTCTCTCCCTCCTCTGTGACTGGACAAAGAGCCACTGAGTGAGGAAATCTTGGGTTTTATATGTGCACTGTCTGCTATCAGGTTAATGATTATCCTTATCTGATCAATATCAGTACACCGGATGGAGTTTCCCCCTGCTGAGCGGACTATTGAAACTGGATCATATTCACATCATCATCTATGTTCAAAATCCAGTGGTTAGTTTTGATATTATCATAAAGTGGAATGTTTACAGTTTTTCTGCATTTAACATGCTCCACCCATTTTTCAGTGCATACGGTTTTGCTCCATCTAAACTGAATTTGTTCCACTGAGCAGGTTGAATTTACTGAAAGGAGAGTGATTTATCTTTTTGTCCACTTGCCACTGCAGCAATGTCAAATGATATATATTCGGTTTCAGTTCTATCTAAGGCATTTCTTTTTTGTTTTTTGAACCCGGATGGTGTGACACGGTGTGACACGGTGTGACACGGTGTCACACACAGTTTTCTCCTGACCGGTAGTTACCTTTGACGAGGCCATGACTTCTCTCTGTTATTGTTGTGTAGTCTAGTTTATTTTTAAACAGGAAGATGACCCAGTTTACATATAGGATTGATTGAGAAATATGACTTATGCAATTGTGGTTTTGCAATGTGTTACTTCATATACTTTGATCCCCTGGTGGGTAGGAATAGACAATATGCATGTAACGTCACTAGCTGTCTATGACAATGAAACCAGGCAGCATGGATCTGTTTCCACTGTAAATCTAAAGACAAAAACGCTACCCAAGTCAACATGTTGCCTCTTATTTATGAATGGAAAATCTGCAGCCCTGCAATCAAACATTATTCCATTATCTGCAAAAAGAGGTCGACCTGCATTTGTGCAACAGCACTCCTTCGCTCTACACACATAGACACACACACACACACACACACACACACACACACACACACACACACACACACACACTGCAAGAAAACAAAAGACTCATTTGTGGTGCACAGTCCCTACAACTGTCAGTGGGAATATGAAGACCTAGCCTCTCCTCTGTTAAATGTTAACTATACCCATATGAGAGCAGGATTGCATGAGCCCCACAGTGTGTACACAGTAAACAGTGTCCACAACCCTGATTTCAGCCAGTGAGGCCTGATCTCTGGAAGGTAAAATGTATGGGTGCATGGTGTCCCACATTTATGAACCCTCTAATGACGCAGCAGCAGCGGCTTCAAAGAGTAAGAGACACACAGTCTAGGGGCCACAGGGAAATCAAGGATGTGTGTGTGTGTGTGTGTGTGTGATAAACAATGAACGGGGAGTAAGCCAGTCTTCATTATACTTGACATGTGTGAGTGTTGGAGATGGAATATTGAGCTCATGAATACGTATTAACATAATTTATCACTGTGGATTTTGCTTCTATTGATTATTGATTGATTATAAATACAGACACATACACATCAAGAGCTACTGAATGAAAAACTGTCATGCCACATGCAGAACTCTCCAAAACGAGAGCGAATGCAGCCTGACTGGATGAGGGTGAGGCCGACACTGAACTCTATCCTAAACAACTCCTCACCCTTTATATTATTATCACCATGGAGATTGTCTTATCTTATACTTTTTGGGCCCCAGATTGTTATAACAGCAATTAGAGAGTTGTCAAGTTGCCAAGGTTATGACATTTTCTAATTTCGGGAGATGGATTACATACAACAAATGTATTTCCCACTGCTTTATTTTGGACTAAATTCATACTAAATATCAATATATCAGTGTATATGTGTGTGAAAGTGACCCCACATGAACTCCAAACCCAGAGTTGATAAAACTCTGAATGGTGATCCGATGGAGAATCTACCTCAGGGGCAGAATGTAATGTGCCTGAGGAGTAAACCAGCAGCCATCGGACTGTACAGCTCTGCCTCCCCACTCAGCTCCTGCTGGAGGGTGAAGCAAGTCTCCTGCAGCATCTGCATTGCTTTGTGCACACAGAACACTGTGGACTGACCTGTATGTCCTATGCTGCACTGTTGAGTGATATTTTGAGCATACAACAGTAGACACACATTTTCATTCTCTTTAAATTGATACGATTGAGTGATATTGTTTAGCAGGTTTTCTTCAGCCCAAATGGAAAAATGCAGAAGCACGTGCAGGTTTAGCTGTTACACTAACTTTTATTGCACTCTCTGTTTTGCCATTTGGCACCTGCTATTAAAAAAAGATAACGGTTCACATTATTTCGTAATACTGTTTATCTACCATACACACAGACTGTTTACTTGTTTGATCAAACCGCCAAAGCCAAATAGATTTTTGTACAGCTGGCATATTTGTGGTCAAGCCACATACACACATGCGCGCGCGAGCAGACACACACACACACCTACTGTAGCCTTTCTATTATATGTCTGCATTTTTAATTTTCTTGGCTTATTGTCAGTAAACTGGGAAGCAACAGTCCACAGTTTGATTCTAAAAGCTATTTTTAAATCTGTCAATACTGAATATTATTAAATGTTAATTAAAGATAATCCTAGAATTAAATAGAAAATATCAATTTATTAAGGTTCACTTTAAGTTTGAGCAATGAACTACAAATAACATTCATTTGAACATTAATATTTTCCTCAATCTAACAGTAAAATACAAGACCATGACCTTCTTGAGTTAGATTTAAAGTTTTCTGTCATAGAGAAAGAAAGTAAGTTAGTAGATAAAAAGAAAAATTGATAGTGATTTACCATTAAACAAACCTTGACTTTAAAAACTCTCTGACTTTACTGACAGATTTACACTGTCTTGTACTGTTTACAATTAGCTGAAGTACTCTGAATGATTTATACAAATGATTTGTATGACACAGATCAGAGAACTATACCATTCTAAAAGATAAACTACTTACGGCAGCCTCAGCCTTAATGTGAACTTTCACAGTGAGTGTCATATAGCCTGTAACTGACGTCTATAGATTCAAATGAATCCTAGTGGCTTTACTTAAGACTTCTGCATCTTGAATTTTAAATAACCTCACTTGTCAAGGGTGTGTGGCCTTGGTCTTGATTCATAGGTCACTGTTACATGACTACAGCATTTCAGTTGGCCAATGCAGCTACAGTACAACCTGTAACTCCCCTGACCACAAGCCACAGTTACATAATGAATGTCTAATGGGAGAAGATATATGCTGTGACAAACCTTTAGGTGGACTGAACTACTTTAAACTTTTCCATCTGTTTTGTGTTTTCCAGTTAAATGTCCAACTCCGTAAACTCCATTCAGTAGATGTAAAAAAAAAACAACAAAAAAACAAAAAAAAAAATGTAGAAATTGACTGATTAGAATCATGGGTATGATTGGCATCAACATAAAACGTTACTGAACACTTTGCAGCCTCCTACAAAAACAACATTGCTAAAAAGAGGACCTGCCTCTTGGCAGTATTTAACTTACCTCCAGCTATACTTTCCACCAGGATACAGCTTCCACAAGTAATAACCTTAAATGGGAGGAAAATTAATACCCTGCAGCTGGCAAGCCTCCAGCCTCATGTATTTCACTGTTTGGGCCCAAAAAGTCTATTTGTATAAGTTAATAATTAACAACTAATTTTTCAACTAATATTTTAAGTCAATTACGAAGTGAATGTATACCCCCCAATTCTCTCTAAAATATGATGCAACTCTACATCTTTCTCTGAAATTGCCTTTGAGAACATTTTTGCTTTTTGGCCAAGTTTTCTGCAGTTTGTGGTCAGTCAGTCAGCAGTCATTTGGTCCAGTAAAGACTGTTTTTTCTCTCTCTCCCCCTCGAGTCAAACCACAATCCCTCTCGGAGTCAGTTGTCTGCTTGGGTAATGGAAAAGGAGTATTTCTTGCTAATTCTTGCTAATTCCTTTTCCATCCATGGCGGGGCACAACGTGGTGGTTGCAGCCCCTCGAGCGGCTCTCTCTCTCTTCATCATATCATAGACTTTTCATAACCATTGCCCAGTTTATTTTTCTTTCAAGTTGGACTCAAGATGGCTGCTGCCAGTTGGAGACTGTGATCAACAATTTTCACTCTGGGGCTCATAAAGTGTTGTGGGAAATTAGAATTGTCTCTTGGCCTGAGGAGGCAAACTGAGCCACTTGTACCCCAACTCAAACATACATGCAGTGAAAATAGATGGAGAGAAGAGAAAGAGACATTAACTTTATATAGAAAAAATAAAATACACAGATTAAGAAGGGAAGAGAGAGAATTAGAGGACTAGAAGAGTCTACAGCCATGGTAGCATCTCTGTAGGGTTGTACTTAACCACAGCAGTGTTTTGTGCTAAATGCCTAACTTTGGATGCTAACATGCTAGCATGCTATGTTTACCATGTTCACCATCTTAGTTTAAGATATTAGCACACTAACATTTGCCAATTAGCTCTAAACGCAAAGTACAGCTGATGATGGTATAAACCAAAGTATTGAATAAATAACCAAACAAAAGCACCTGACAAGGCCAAAGGATCAGGAGAAGTACGGGAATGTATGTACCTCATACCAATCCATCAATACGTGACACATTTCACTCATTCATACAAATGTCAACCTCATGATGCCAATCCATCAAGTAGATCTTGAGATACTTCAGTGGATATGTCATAAGCTAAGACCTGCTAGTGGCACAACAGAAAAAGGAGGATTGGAAAAATCATCATGATTAATTCTCTGGGCACCATGAATGTTTGTGCTGGAATTTCCAGGCAGTCAATTCAATAGTTGTTAAGAGTGTTCAACAAAAATGTCAACCTCATGATAACACTAAAGTTTTCTAAGGGATTCATCCTCTGGGAAACATTAATGTCTGTAGAAAATTTTGTGTCAATCCGCTATGCACTATGTTTGGAGTGAAGACGTGTCAGATCATTCCAATGTGCCCTCCAAGAGGCTTCGTCTCCAAGACAACCGATTTAGGCATGCTAGCGTTTGATTGACTGAAAGGACGGGGGCTATCTGACGGTTAGTGGTACCTAACGTCACCAGACAAATGTGAACTGATGTTATTTAACCATGTTAGCTAGCGTTAACTAGCAAGCTAACCCTGGCTTCTGGCTTCTGTTGGCTAGCAGTCAGGTTGCTAGCAGGACTAAAGATAAAATGGTGGATATATCAAAGTATGAGTTTAATTTCTCTTGAAAAACCCCTTGAAAATGTCACGATAAATACTATGACATTTTCATTTTCATGCCTTATAGTACTATGATGGTTTTATCCCATACTATACTATAGCATTTTTATGATGGTGCAGTGGTTACATTTGTTGACTCTCAGTGAGAAGGATCTGGGTTCAAAAGCTGCACAGTCCAAACAAATACACATTAGGTTAATATTCAGTTCTAACTGGCCTCATAATGCCTTGCTATAGTATGATTTTTTTTACATTTTTATGCAATACTTACTATGACGTTTTATGCCTAACTATATTATGACGTTATTATGCCTTACAATAGTAAAGCAAAAAAATGTCAAAAAATGATGATGCAATGACGCCATTTTTACTATACCATGAAGTTTTTTTTCTTACATTTTTATACATTACTATACTGTGACATTTAAAAATTTTCTTTTACCTTTTTATGCCTCAGTATACTATGATGTTTTTTGACAATTTTATACCTTAAATACTACGATGTTTTTTACTTATTTATGCATACCTTACTATGGCATTTTTTATGCCTTACGATACTATGACATTTTTTGACATTTTTATACCTCGGTATACCATGATGTTTTCATATCTCACTATAGTATGTATGGTGTTTTTTGACATTTTTATGCCTTAGTATACCATGACATCTTCATGTCTCACTCCCTGAAGAGCTTCCAGGTAGTGCAATAGTAAACAATGATGTCTCACACTGACAAGATTGTGGTTTGAAGCCAGCATCACACCTGCCTTCCTATACAATAGTATGTTTATACCCTACAAAACTTAGATGCTTCAAGACATATTTATGCCTTAGTATACTATGAAGTTTTTTGACATTTTTACACCTTACATAATAATAAGAATAATTAAAAGACATTTCTTGTCCTCCTTAGTGGAATCTCAAATTATGTGAAGTGAGAAGAAAAGCAGCCAGCGGTGGTTGACGATCAGACTCTGAACTTGACTCACCTGCAGGAGGAGCGGATCAGAGGAAGACACCTGGTGCCTCATGTACCAAAGCCTTGCATGAATGTAAATTCAGAACTTATATGTTAATAAACATTTGTTGACGGCAATAATCTTTGTTTAAGGAGGGGTGGTGGGGTTGCGTCCCTACCAATGTTAAGACCAAACCTACGCCCTTGAATCCATCTACTAAATGATAAGATATTTAATAGAATAAGAGATCACTAATTCCTGGAAGCGTCACTCTCTGGGAGCTGTGAATATCTGCACTGCGATCCATGTCATAGTTGTTGAGATATTTTTCCCTGCACCAAATTGTTGCATTGACCAATAGCTCAACAAACCAACATTTTCACCCCTGGAACCAACTCCAAATTTTTCCCAATAAATTTTGTCATAAAAGACCATCAATCAGACCAGACAGCTGTTACTCATGGTCCACTGCTCTTATAAAGAGCAGATAGTCTTTCCCGGCATGATAGTGGTACTCCTGACGAAGATGCTGGTAACAAGCTGAAAGAGGATCCCTGAAGAATGAGAGGCATGTACTGAGAGAATGAGCCCCCATGGATGGCACCAAGCCCTCTGCTCTCCCCTCCTGTTTACTTGATTAATGGGGACAGAGACCACATAGCACTGGACGGGGTTACACTCTGCTCTATGAGGCACTGCATAGTCACTGATGTTATCTGAGATTGTGGATGCTACACAGTAAGGTGACTCTGGAACTTTCTCTTGCTTCATACCAGTTGCTCCATATTTTGACATGTTATCACCAGGGTCTCAGAAGTGTTGCCGTTTTTCCCAGCCAGCTACACCTCTTAGCTCCAATTGGCTGCTGTCTGAAGGAGAGGGTGTGGTTCCTCATGTCTAGCCTCCCGTATTTCAGTCTTGTTGGACGGTGGGTAGTGTAGGAAGGCATGTTCACAAGCCCCTCCCTGCTCCATGCACTCTTTTACACACAAGCAACCCCAGCTTCTGTTATGGCAGGGGCTGCACATTGGCATTTACCAAACAGCCGCGGCATGCCACTCTCCCTGACAGCACCTCCCTGCCCTCTCAGGAGACAGACAGGCAGGCTGGTCTGAGCTGAGAACAGGCTGTAGTGCACTGTCTGGCATACACGCCCTCACATCAGCAAGATAAAGTGGAGGAAACTGCCGAACACATGTCACAAGGTAAGCTTCTGATTTAATACTTATCTCATCTCTCCAGCCAGTGGAGAACTGCTGGACTGGATAGTTAATCAAATCCGAGATGCTGAATGTTGACCTTGAAAGTCTTCGATCTGGGACTAGCTGATCTAAATTCAGGGTCAGAAAAGCTTTTGACTCTAAAGTGGTTTAACAAATTGTGTGGAGTGGACCTCTGGGCCTGTGCTGAATACTGATCAGACTGGCGGTGGAATACCTTTGCCTTTTAAAGATTAAATGCTGAATTATATTTATATATTATTACATCTATATTTACACATGCTGTACAGGAATGCACATGAAACAACACAAACACACATGTCCATGTGAACACACACCCAGGCAGCACACTTTCTATTTTAACCTTGCCATGTTAACATACCATAGCTTTCTTCCTTGCGTGAAGCCACTGGCAGCTGTTTCATCCTATGAGCTTTGGTTCCACATACCACTCAATGAGGCTTAGATGCCACAATGCAACACTGAGCCTGCTGTTATTGGAATAAGACCAGGACAACTCCAGTGGTCCAAAATCCCAGGATGAAATACAAACATGAAAAAAGATCACAGGACCTGAGGGATTTCGAGGAAGTCTTTATGGAGACAGTGAGAGAAAAATGTGAGTTTGACAGAAAAAAGAGGAGACAGATAGATCAGGAAGGGAAAGAGAGCTTGAGTCCAAACAGTTGGCTTTGGTTTCTAAATCAACTCCTAACAGAAGACAAGGTTTAGAGTTATGTGCTGGAAAAACCACAGTCTGTACAGCCAAAAAGTGGAGGAGAGGAATTATTTTTCCGGGAACAGGGAAACATGTAGACATACAGTATATACTGTACAGATGGACAGCTAAAAGAGGAATCAAAATGAAAAATGCACAGAGAGAACTGTGTTACGTTACTTTACGAATACGTTAATTATCTAAAATTTTAGAAGACAGGCATTGATGCCGTATAGTGGCGCAAAAAACTGTACAACACAGAGTATAAGTGAGTGGGTGGATGGGACAATGTGATAGAGAGGCCAAACTGACAGCTCAAGTTCACCCCATGTGAACTCATGAAACTAAAAACATATGAGACTGAATGAATTAACTCCATAAGTTGTAAAAAGACTAGCAGCTCTGAGAGGCTGTACTTGGTGGTGCTTTGATCTAAATGCTAACAGCATGCTAATAGGCTCACAGTGACAATGCTAACATGCTGATATTTAGTAGGTATAATGTTTACTATGCTCCCCTAATCTACCTTAGTTTTGTACATACTGAAGTATCAACTGAGGCTGATGGAAATGTCATTAGTTTTTCAGGTATTTAGTGTATATTTAAATTTTGACCTGATCAGATGAAAGGTCACCAAAAGTGATAACAATTCATCCAATAGCTGACAAGCCATCACCCAAAACAACTTAATTCAACCTCATGATGGCAGGAAAAGTGTGGGGACCACCAAAGGCATTGGGATTCATCCTGTGGGGAATAAGAATGTGTGTACAAACTATCAAATAGTTGTCTCAATATTTCAGTCTGGACCAAACTGTTGGGCCAACTGATGTTGCCATCCCTAGAGACACCGTTACCATGGCTAAAAATAACCACCACAACAAACCATTGCTGTTACCGTCAGTGACTAAACCAAGTCTTAACAGCTATTATATCAAAGCTTAAATGATCCTTTCGTCCTTATCGGAGATTCAAGCATTTATCATTGCTTCACAGGGAGGTGAGATGAGTTCATATTTAATTCGTGGCTTTAGTAAAAAATGCTGTGGACAGAGATGTTGTGATTATGAGGTTTATGCTGATGCGGGGAGAGCCTAAAGGTCTGTGTGAGGAGGAACACATTTACCCGGAGGAGGAGGAGGCCAGCTGTTGTGGGAACACAGAGATGAAAAGAACTCAAATAAAGCAAAATGGCCACTCAAGAAACTGTAACACTTCCCCTGACTGAAATACAACAAGAGCTTCAGCTGGATACAAAGGGAACCTTGATTTTACAAAAGCTCGAGAAAAAAATTGTAACTTGACTTTGGATTAAGTTCAACGTGTGCAGAGGTAGCAGCGCTGTAGCGCTGCGCAGCACTGTTTGGCAGGGGCCTGTTTGGGGTAAGGCGAATATTTTATGTTTCATTTCTTGGGTTTCCTGTGAGGTGGGCCTATTGCTCCAAGCGTACACAATTAAAGCGTGTGCCACGGAAATGTGGAGAGAGTTAGGCAACGACTCTTGGGAACAGCCTAACCGTAACTCTGCTATATTGTTTCCTCTGTGGTAACCTGGTCAGGAAGAAATGTATGAGTGTGTCTATATTTGTATTTAAGGAACATGTAGGCTACTGCAGTTTGGGCCTCACTTTGTTTGTCTGAGAGCGCGCTGTAAATAGCCTAAAAGTTAACATTGCTTTTTCTCAATGCTTCAAATACAACTTTATAAATTTTGACAGTACATCAAATCCAAGGACAGGTTAAAGGAATGCTTTGACATTTTTGTAAAATAGGTTTATTCACTTTAGAGTTAGATGAGAAGATGAGAAGACACCACTCTCGCCTCCCCTCTGCCTCCAGTGCATGCTAATGTAAGGTAATCATCTCCTGCTGTAGTGTCATATTTTATTTATTGAACAGAGTGTAATTGATCTCCTCATCTAACTGAGCGAGAAAGCAAATAGCCTAAGCGTATTTCATTTTTCAAGTAAATCTTTAACTGCAGCATTTGATTTAATATTAACTAATAACAGTAACTGTTTTATTTTTCACTTAGTAAACATCCAGTATTGAGATGAAACTTCATTTTTTACTACAAAGCAGAAATGTTAAAGGAATTTCCTGAAGTCCAGCCAGCAGCCTGCTCTCTGAGCTTGATGACAGCCAGCATTGAGATGTCTGCAGTAACAGGTGCTCTGCTGTCTGCTGCGTTGACTGACAGAGGCAATGTTGAACACAGCCTCTGCTTGTAGTCAACATTAGGCTCTTTTCCCTAATATTAATGCCTCAGTAGCTCTATGGAAAACTGTTGCATTATCCTCCTGGTTTGTCCTTCTGTGTAGCTTGTAAAATAAAGACACGTCTGGGTCTACCTCTCTTGGACTTTAGCTTTACACCCATGTGTATCAGCTAAACTTAGACTTTTCAGTTCGAGTGCTGAAAGATTCCTCTCAACATCATAAAACCCCACTGGTGATAACAACATACACAGCGTATCACTTTCAATGTAGTCAGTGTAACACATGTATTAGGTTTCTGTACGGACCACAGCACAGATCATACAGTGAGAGGAAACTCTACCATGATAGATCATTTTTTACCAGATTTGGAAAAACAATATTTAGCTGTTTATTTTTATTTTTCTTAACACAGGCAAACAGATTGGTGGAAGTTTCCATACCATGTGATACAGACAGGGCTGGATATTAGACTCAGTCCTGCTTTTGGCAGCTGACTGAAACGTATCTGTCGCTCAAAATATTGAAAATGATCAAATACAGAGCGCTGGCATTGAATGATTGCTTAAGTTCATACTCTTCTCCACTTATTCTTTGATCAGAATTAAATCATATTTTGCCATTTTTATAGCTGCTTGTTTTCGCAGAACATCTAACTTTTGAGAATGTGGCTTGTTTATTAAAGCTGCTGCTGTTTCTATGTAAACAATGGATCAAGTTTCTATGAGTAATAGGAGTCACTCGTGACAAACCTACAGATTAATCACCTGACTGAGTAGTTCCCCTCAGCTCCACAGAGGATCTTTGGAGAAGCGTCTTTCAGCTCATTGTTTTGGTTTTCTGGCCCACACCTTGACTGTCTTGGTTCACTCTCACAGCTCATTTTAGCTTCATTTTCAGCTGTTTTCAGCACAAAAGCTCTGATAAACACACTGTACAATACCTGCCCAACACTGAACAGCAGAAAGTCAAAGTTAGTGACTAGCTGGGGAAGAATTCCTCAACTAAAGAACCAGATATTTGCTTCAGGATCAGATGAAAACAGAGCTAAAAGCAGAGTGAGCATTGGATTTACATTCACCAGATAGACAGAAACACATCTCCAACTAAATGCTAATGTTGTTCAGTGTCTGCTGCACATAAATAAGTGACTGTTTGCTAATAATATCAGCCACCATATCAACTTAAATGGTAACTGCTGCTCTCGATGGCCAAAAAAAGAGGTATCGAAAAAAGTGTCTCAGAAAAGTTTGCTAACTTGAATTTCAGATATTTTCTTAAAATTACCAAAATTTTTTATAATATTTGAACATCCTAAATGACAAACTCATCCCATCCCATCTGGAAACTACCAGCCAAAGTGTGCATAGTGTGCATGCATGTACAGCTCTGTAACCTTGACCTTCAAGTATACATGTACTTATCTCAGTGTTCACGTCTTAGCTTGTGAAAATGTTTGCATCCCTGTCTGTAATTTTCAGATTTGTTTTCCGTTTCTTGTTGGCCATCAGAGAGTGTGTGAATGATGGAAGATAAAATTCCCAGCAGGGCCATTCGGTGGTGTTTGTCTGTTTACTGCATAGCTGACATTGTTTGGGGTTGCGGCTGGGTGGCTGCGGTGCCTCAAGAGGACAGAGAGCTGCCACAGACGCTGGTGGTCAGGGGAAGGGAGGGCATGGGAGGAGGGAGGGAAGAGGTGAGGCTGGAAAGGGGGAGACACTGAGAGAGTGAGGTAGGAGAAGCAATGACTACTCACTATTCTCTATAATTTTATTATATTTATTATAATAGTATTTAAAGAGGAAAAAAATTTAAAGGGCAGTCGAGCTATGTAGTGAAAGAATCTACACAGTACAAATACTGACATGAAACATGAGAGAGTAAAAGGAAGTTACAGTTAGATTCAGTTCAGCAAAAGTAACCCAAGGATCTGAAAGAAGACTGGAGACCTAGTAGGAGGCAAAGAGAGAGCAGGAAGGGAGGAAAGTAGTGAGTCAGAACAATGGTTGTCTGTATTTATGTCTGTAGGAGTATATTTTGCCCCGCTGGCCATCGCTGCTGGGCGAAACTGTCTCAAGCTATTTTCAGCTCTAGTCCTGGATGGCAGAGCTGTAATCAACTGAACATCAGGCCTGCCACTGTTGAATAATAGCTGCCTGATGCATGGAAGAAATGAAGCAGCGAGAGTGTGAGAAAAGCAAAAATCTCTGGGAGTAGATGAGAATGAGAGGAAAGAAGAGAGAGAGAGAGAGAGAGAGAGAGAGAGAGAGAGAGAGAGAGCGAGCGCACTTGAGTGTGATTGGATGTTAGTGTCTTGTGCTCGGTGCTACATGAGGGAGAATGAATAAGAGGGAGATTGTGAATGGAGCACAAAAATGGATTATTGCTGTTCCATCTGGTCATAAAACTTCAATTGAGTCTCCCACAAAAAAATACCACAACTATACCTCAAGTGAATGTCATTGCCAAAATTTGTCAGTTGTGCCTCCACAAATCGGGAATGTGTTCATTATATTGTTAGAAAACCACACAATAACCACTTCTGCCACTTGTAAAAATGTCCTGAAATGTTTTTCATGTGTGGCATGGCTCAACTGATTCCTCTATTTTTGGTTTCATTTCATTTGCTTTGTCAGATTCCAAAGGTACGACCAGATAATGTGACAACAAATTGTTTGGAGAACTGAACAGAGCAAAATGATGGAAGGACAAAATGGTAAAAAAAAAAAACAACATCCACAACATGATGAAATTTTACTAAATCTGCTGTTTATTTGTGACGGATACTAAATTAGTGTTTTAATGTTTACAGGAAATATCGCGCCACATAAAACAGCACAGAATGGAATTCAAGGGAAGCCCCCTTATTCAGTGGAAACCCCTTACGGCTTCCGACTTGACCTGGACTTCCTGAAGTACGTAGACGACATAGAGAAAGGCAACACCATCAAAAGAGTCCCAATCCAGCGCCGGAGCAAGGGCCCCCGGGCAAGCACTCTTCCCAGGCACCTCAACCCTTCTGGGTGTGGCTACCGCCCAAGCCTGTGGGGATCTACTGGAGCTCTTGGCCCCAGGTCCCGACCGTCAGATGCCCATCATCATGGCTACACTTCCTGGGCATATGATCACAAGGCGCCCCTTTCTCCCACGGGGCTCAAATCCTTGGCAGAGATGGAGGCAAGAATCAAGGAGTTTGATGAGCAGCCTCTAGGTGAGCACATCAGACCTCATCTCCTCCGTGCCTCCAGTCTGCCTCTCACAGTATTACTCAGACAGGGCTCAGAGTCCATGGATGACCCCGGCAGCCTCCGGAGTTCTAGAGATCACCTCGGAGGAAGAAACACCTCCTGTGAGGACGTTTTCTACTCCTCAGATAGCCCTCGACCCCAGGACGGCTCGGGGCTGTTGAGGCGCCTGACCGAGGCCCTTGAACGTGTGGGGGAGCTGGAGATGGAGGTGAGGGTGATTCCAGAGCTCAGGGCTCAGATCTGCATCCTCCAAGAGGAAAGAGAAAGACTCCGTCTGGGCCTGAATCCACATATCCATTCACCTTCGACGAATGGAACCACAGACCCTCATACCTTGTCCCACTACGGCACCGTGGATATCAAAAGGCCTCGGCATGAAAGTCATATCATGTTTCTTAAAAATCAAAGTGTCAGTCAAGATGACTCTAATCCAAAACATGAGTGGAGGACTAGTACAGATCTGGATGAGCTGCTGACGGTGACATCCCTGCAGGCTAAGGTAGCTGTGCTGGAGCAGAAGCTCCATGAAACTGGCCTGGACCTGCAGAGGGCCTTAGGTCTGCTGAGGGAGCAGAGGGAGGAGGGCAGGAGGAAAGACGAGAAGGTGGAGCACCTTATCAGGAATCCTGGGGTGTGGGTCCGGGCAGAACGGGTGGTTGTAGACCAGGTTGGAGAGGAGACGCTGGTGAGATCCATCGAACCAGACTATGATAAAGCGTCTTTCTCAAGAAGCACAGATGGCTTCGGTGGTGCAAGAACTGTTACCACAAATGGACAAAGGAGTCGACAACAAGACTCTGCACTCGATTCCTCGTCTGCTGAACCCGGAGAGGCTTCAGATGAGGACACAGCAGTTGTTGTCCACCACATAAAGAAGCTCAAAAGGCTCCTGGATCAGCAGTGGGAGTGTTTGTGTGCAGACAGGGAGTCGGGAGAGGAGGGTAAACCTCTAAAGCACCCAGATCCTAAAGTCAACTCCCTGCAGCAGGAGATGATGGGACTTGTTGACATCCTCACCTCCTACTACGCCCAGCACGGACACAGTGATGGAGAAAGGATTCGTCATAGAGGTACTGAAGTCCACAGATTCTACATTATATCAATGTAATGATTGAATCTGTTTTACTGTAATTAATGCACATAGAGCGAAAAAAGACACTAACGATTGTTGCCCTCTTGCTCTGCATCTAATCCACAAGAGTCAACGAAAAGCAAATTATGTAACTGAAAATGATTGACTACTAAATTTGTGCTTCATACAGGCTTTGCTCCCCACAGACTATTTTGACCACGGTTGTAACAGAGAAGTACACTGACTTCATGTTCTGCAGGCCTCATGTTGAGAGGCAGCGCGCTCACATTATATGAAGTCTAACTGGAATCCTAATATTGTGGTTTGGACGTGGTTTGGGAAAGAAGAAGTCAGTCTGTTTACTGCAAGGCAGAACACTATAGTTGGACCTCCCTTCTTGACTTCACTCTTGTTCCTTGATGTGATTTACGTCACATCTAACTGATAAAAAACTTGCTGAGTTGGAGTTCAGATAGTTAACAGGTTGTATTTAATTGGAGCGCGTGGTTGGTTGACTCCAGTCACTTCCCACAAAGGCTGGTTTTAAGTGTTTTGAACTGCTGTTATTTTGTTTTAGAACGTCTACCTATTACAATTGTCAAATTTTCCAACATGCTGAAAGCTGAAACAGCAGATGTGAGTCTCTGAGAGGAGTGTGTATTCAAAACACTTTCCCTTCGAAACCAAGTGATTTAAATCTCCTGAGAACATGCTCAGAAACTGCAAACAATAAGGGTTTGATATTATTATTCTAAGATTTGAAATCCAATTTTGTACTTTTAAAACCACAAAGAATCCTTTAAAACCTTACTATCAACCTTTTATATTTATTGATTAGGAATATCATTAAAGACACAGTGGATGAGGAACAGTGTTGCTATTGCTTTTATATAAGAAGGAGCCCCAAAGGATTGAATAAGGTTTTGAAACTTCAGCATGAAATGATCCAGTGGAGTTCTCTATAGAGCAAAGCCTGTGTAAACTAGCGCTCCGGCTAGATGTTATAGTGACACGAAATAGGAACCAACTCCACAGATTCAGTGGTAACAGCTGTTGCAGTTTAACAGCTGTATCAACACAGGAATAAGAGCAAGTTGATGAGTTGCTGAAAAACCACTCGTTTTAATTTCAATAAAGAAACATTATACGTCTCCAAAAAGGTTGAGAAATGTGTTTAAAGTCGTATTCTCACATTTGTCTCATAGCACAGAAGTCCTGTCAAAATAAAGGCAAAGCAGTGCAATTTCAAAGTAAACACTGAAAAACTAATTTGAATACCATTTGTTTTAGAAGAGGCTACATCATGAGGCTCCTCTGTCGTATTCAGACCCATTATGAACTTATTAGGCGTAAAGTTGTTGGTTTGTGTTTTTGTAGTTTGTGTTTATGGCACTTGACAAGTGGCTGACTCACAGTTTTCGTGAAGAAACTGTTCTGTCCAAAAGAATCATAATAAGCCTTAGAGTCTGTCAAAATGTTGTTGTTCAGCTGTGTGTTGATATTTCATCATCGTCCTCTGTGTCTGTCTTCCCTCCCTGTAGCCTCGAAATCCATCATGAAGACAGATGGATGTGCCTGGACGTCAAAAAAACAACTTTCTGGGGGTGTTAATGAAGGGTTAGTAAATAACTCTCACTGACTTTAGTGACTTTAAAAGCAATGATTATTGGTTACGCAACTGTACTTGAGGTTCTTAAAGCTACTGTTATATGGCTCTGACTGAGAAAAACATCATAATTTAAATCTGAAAGATGAAAACCGCTCCTTCTAAAGCGTGGTCTCCAATGTCTTAGGATGACAGTGTCACAGTGAATGTTTGCCATTTTCCAAAGCCTCAAATGAGGATGTTTTCTATCTCAGTATTACAACAATATATTCAATTATTTTGGTTGTGATAATCAGATGAATTTTCTTGGTTTTTTAAAATGAGGACACACAGGCATCACATTGAATTCGTTTTACTTTGTTCTTTGAAGCTTGAAAAAGATTGGACTCAAAGTATTGATTGAAATAGTCTACACATAAATGATGCATCAGAAATCTCTTCCAAAACTCTCAAATTCCCAAATGAGTCAAATGAGATATTGCAGAGGAAGATGGTTCACTGGCTTTATGCTTATACCTGATGCTGTAAACTTCGACATTCAAAGGAGTTAGTGAGGTTTTTGAGGGATTTAAACAACTTTTTCATTCTTTAAATCTCAGCGTTTGCAAGATCAGAGAATTCAGTGCTGACACATTTATTTCCCTGCCTCATTTTCTTCTCCTTTAAAGATGTAAAACAACCGCAAGTGGAAATCTACTCGGGAAGGACGGTGTGAACCAGAGCGTTTGTGGCGATTGGGAACAGAAGGAGAGCAGCAACAGCCCGGGAGAGATGGCTGCTGCCCAGGTGGATGCAGACCCGGAGAAGAGGCGGATAGAGGGAGTGTGGCAAATGAGCCCAGACAGACAGATGATACTGGGAGGAGCAGGATCAGGGACAGATGGAGGAGTAGTGGCTGTAGAAGCTGAGGCTCCAGAGAAAATGGCCAAGATGAAACTAAAGCCCCCAGGAGAACAGATGGAGAGGTACTCTGGCTCAGAAACAACCACAGGGGGCAGGTGAGAGGACCATAACAAATGCTTTGGAAAATGTAATTGTAATGTTTACTCCTAGGGGAATACCTCCAGTAATAAATGTGGGGAATATATTCCTAATGCTGTGAGGGGAAATTTCCCTTATTGTCTCTTAGTCTGGTACATCAGACACACATGCTCTTTTCTTTCAGGGAGACTGTGAGTGCAGATTTTATGGCTGCCTGTCAGTTCCTCAGTGACCACATGGACAACATGGATAACCCCAACGATGATGTGGTACGTAACTTTGATTCATCACCAAGAAACTCTTAATTAACCCTAAAGAAGCTCATTAATCAATACTGAAGCTGCTTACAGGAGTGACATTCATATATCTTAAAGCTGCACCTATCAATATTTTTATATCAACAATGGATATTTGTAACATGAAAAGTGTCGCTCGTAGTGACGAACCCACTGAGAACTATCACTCAGCTCTGCAGCTCCGCTTCGCTCAGGGCATTTTAGTATCTTTCAGCTCATTGTTTTGGTTTTCATGGCCTGCAGCTTTGCTGTTGTGGTTCTCTCTCACTGCTCTCATCAGCCGAGGAGGTAACTCGTGTTTTCACTCATTGTCTATTTATCAGCAGGATTAAAGTACTGAAACAAAGCACCAAACTAGGCGGGGGGATGTGACATGGATCAGGGACGAACCCATTCGAGTTTGTTTGACATTGGCCTCTGCGTTCTCTGTTTCCAGCTGTATTCAGTGGAAAAGCTCTGATAGACATATGCAACCTGATCAGCACCAAACAACAGACAGATTCAAAGACTTGCTGGTGAACATAGTGGAGTCCTTAGCATTTATAGAATTTAGCGAGCCAGATATTTGTTGGTGGAGACCAAAACAGAGCGAATATTAGACTTATATTAGACTGTTAAATGAATGCTAATGTTGCTACACGTTTGCTGGATGTGAAAGTAGGCATTTGTTGGCATGTTCACCATAACAATATGTCAATGTTATGTTCTGTAGACAAACAAATCACTGAATATTTCTTTAAAGTGTGTTAATGTCAGAGAGCTTCATCTAAAGTTAGTGTCCCTCCTACGTTCCTGTCTCTTCTCCAGAGGAAGGCCCTGGTCGTGTTGTTTCAGTACTGGTTCAGTGCAGCAGCAGAAGAGGCTTCAGTGGCCAGCAGGGTGGCTGTGTACCTGAAAGAGGTGAAGAAAGCCACACCTTCACTGCTGGCCTTCCTCATCAACCTGGCTGACGACAACGGCAACACAGTGCTGCATTACAGCGTGTCTCACTGCAACTACAGCATCGTCAGCCTGCTCCTGGACACAGGTAATATACTAATAGTACTCGTGTTTAGAGTTATTGTACATAGGATCAGCTGGCTTGTAAATGTCAAAAAAGGTTGACATTTTCTCTGCACCGCAGGTGTGAGTGATGTGAACCTTCAGAACAACGCTGGCTACACAGCAGTGATGCTGGCCTCGCTGACGGCCCCTGATGGCCCGGGTGGCATGGAGGTGGTCCGCAAGATAATGGAGCTGGGCAACATTAACCTTCGCTCCAGCCAGGTACATACGACCAGTACGAACACTGAGTAATTAAAAGGGTGGAGTTAAGGACAGAAAATGAGCAGTTCCTGAAAGACTGTGAGTTTGATTCCCAGCAGCCTGTGCAGGTTGTTTTCCAGTTTTTCTAAGTGGAAGATCCAACAATCCCCCACAAAATATCAAAGGGTCACTCCACTGATTTTACACATGAATATCAGTTTACAGGTGATTAAGAGTAACACAGTTGTATAATATCTGTCTGAAAAAATCATATAGGTTATAACAAATTAGGCTTCAGTCAACAGGAAGTCTATTACAGATTTGGGGGTGCAGGTTAAAAGATACAGGAATCTAACAGGCATAGAGGGTCTAATGAAAAACTCATAAGTTGCATTATAGGAAACATTCGAGACACTAGAGACTAAAAATCACAATAATGTGCTTTAACTTTGATAATTCTGTTTTACATTTGTCTCTTGTGCCTTCATGAGTGTGCAATACTACATTGCTAGAGTGTTGCTCTAAAGGATCCTTCAGCAAGAACCGATTTCTAAATCTTCAGGCTCTGTCTCTGTCCCATCATCTCTGCCTCTCCACACAGACGGGCCAAACCGCGCTGCACTTGGCGGTGAGACACGGCCGAGTTGTGATGGTTCGCCTGCTGCTGAGCTGCGGAGCCGACGCGAACATCCAGGACGGCCAGGGAACCACGGCCCTGATGTTTGCATCTGAGAGAGGCCACACACACATCGCAAGGCTGCTGCTGGAGAGGAGCCAGTGTGACCTCACCCTCAATGACAAGGTGATACTGCAGCAAACAAGTCCCCTTGACTATTTACTTCCAATATTATCATCTAACCCTTTAATAAGAGAAATTATGATTTGATAGTTATAACTGCCACTCACGTGAGATATAGGCAGTTGTTTATGGTCATTATACCAAAAGAATAACAGTTAGCTGTTACCTGGACAATATTTTTTTTCAAATTCTACAGGCATCACGGTTAGTAAATTAAATTTCAGAGGTCAAATAATGACTCCAACGCCATTTCTCATGTGAAATCCTGTTAACAAAATGGCATATCTCCTTTTCTTTTCACATAACTAAACACAAAAAGGAGCTTAGATGTATGAAAGCTTGAATGTTTTGACTCGTGCTGTGTGGACGTGGGTGGACTGACAGTCTGGATGCAGCAGAATAGAGCTTTCCCAGGATTAATCAGGGCTACAGGAAGACAAATCTCCCTGGGCTGAGATGAGCTAATCCGCCAACAGTGCCTTATCTGCCAGTCTGGAGCGGGTGGAGGCAGGGAAGAGAGCATGCATATGTATTTTCTACTTTTGACACAGCCTGCCTTTAAAGCAGAGTTTAAGAGAAGAAAAAAAAAGAGCTCAGCAGGCGTCCTATTGCTACTCGAAAACGTGTTTCACCTTGACACAAACCCAGATTAATTACACTAATTAAACTCTCATGTAATTAATTCTTAACCCATTTATCTTTTTGAACTGAAAATGCAACCTTGCTTTTAAGTTTGTTATTTAATCTGCCCTGTGGGAGCCTCAGCTCTGCACCTTGAAACTATTCATATGAAAATGATACTGTCTACTGCCATGCCACCTGTGTGAGGCTGCACTTGAGCTAAATGCTAACGTCAGCGTGACAACATGATGTTATGTTGACATGATATAATGTTGACTTTTCTCACCACTTTGGTTGAGGATGTTAGCATTTACATGATGACAAAATTTCAAGGAAATCCACCCAGTAATTTCTTGAGGTATTTCATTCAGGACCGAAAGACACTGCCATTCTGCTAGCATGGCTAAAATTACAGGTGGTTTTTTTTTCGTGAGTCTGTGTCTAGTGTGTCAAACTTAATATGTGTTCTGAATTTAAGATTTTCTCTCTTTCTGTCTCCCAGCGCGGTCAGACTGCGCTCTCTATCGCCATGCGAGGTTCCCACACTGATACAGCCGCCCTCCTGCAGGCCCACGCTAAAGCTCGAGCCCTGTAGTACTGGAAAACAGGAAAAGAATCTGCAGACATACGATTCCTCTCACGTGTGCGCTTTTCTGTCTGAATTATTGGATAGAGCTGTTTGTTTCATGATATTGTTTTTGAATACTTCTGCATGAGCATCAGCTTGAGTTTCGGAGATGTCGTGATTAATGTCATCAACGAGTGAGATAAAGCTCTAGATGAGTGTTTGTCATGATTGCTGGTGAAGTCCGTGTGCAGTTTTCTGTCGTCTTTACTGTTGATGTTCATAGTTAGGTCTGATCTTTGCACATCCAAACAGCAGCTTCACTCTGCAAACTATGCAACGAAAAAATATATTTATTATATGTTTATTGTATTTGTCACTATTGCTATTTGCATTCTTGCAGCAGCTCAGCACTTTTTAAAAAAAAAATTAAAATAAAATGTGTGTAAAATATATCAAGGAATGCAAAGTATTTGTCCGATGCTGCATGAAAGAAAGACAAACCTAAACCAACCTGTTGATTTCACTCACTAGCGATTTCTATAATTGATGTTAACATTGTTTGTTTTTAATAAAAATGACAGAAAACTGTTGAGATTGGGTTGTTTCAACCAAGCAAACATAACCTTTAAATACTGTGGTTGAGCTGGCAGGCTGCACTGAAAACCCAGTGGTCAGCTTTGTTGCTGTAGTAACAAACACGACCAGTAGGTGGCACAGCTCCTCCATTCCAGCATCACTACTGCGAGTCAAATACAATAACACACGGAAAGCAACAATATACATAAATCTGGAATTCTAAAATGAGCATATCCAAGGGATTAGATCAAATCCCTTTCAAGTGTGACAGACAATTATAAACATGACACCCACCGAATTGCACTAATTCCACTGTGAGCAAGGACACAATGAGATTCACCTGCAATCCAGCTGTATGGCAGCTGGATTGGCCCAGTCAGGCGTGAAAGCAGATGTGCTGTGAGTGGCCCTTTGTTCCTGTAGCCCACTGGGGCACAGTAAGGGGGCAGCGGCGCTTTAGTTTTGCCGCAAAGACTTGAGATTATGTTTGTGAGATAAGACAAAAAGGACTGAGTGTAGAGACTGGCAGGAGGCTGGATTTGTGTCTGACAGAGCAAAGCCACCTCATTTCCCCTGAGGGTTTTTTCCAGCCTGACTGTCCTGCTGCTGTAATGACCCTGAGCAAATAGCCATCTTCAGAAAGAGTGAGAGAGAGGGAGGGATGGATGGATGGAGATGGAATCAGCTCCTTTCTATCAGTCAAGTGTCATAGATAAAATATTAGCACACAAATTCTATAATAAAGTGATGTAAGTATTGAAATCTGTACTGCTATATCAAATAAAACACAGTGCTTTGAATAGATGACCTTTGTTTATAGATGAACTGTGGAATTAAAGCATTTTGACAGTATGTATTCATGTGCATACACGGGCCATGTGCCTGCTCCACACACATATATAGGTGTAAATACACCATCCCCCACCCTAACAGGCCTTCACACCACAGTGAATAAAGGTGTACATCTTATGCTCATGTGGACCAGTGAATATCTGTGACAGCTCTTTTGTCTGCTGCAGGCACCGCTGGACTAATGAAAAAAAACAAACTTATTACATTATATCCAAATGCGGTATGGCACAACAAAGAGGCTGAGTCTGAAGGCATTTGCCCTGCTTCAGTTTAATAATGATAATGGGTTGGATTTATCTGCGACTGTTTTTCTGTCTGCTGATGGATCACTTTGTTAGGGGATGAATGTAAAACACATCTCAGTCAGCATGGGTTACAAAACAGAGAATGCTTCTCTTCTTCTGTTCAGTTTTTAGGCGAGACTGTGTAGACTTTGAACACAAATAACCCATTTTCCCTCTTAGAAATAAAAACCGGACTTCATACGCAATAATACACTTCTTTTGTCGGTTCAACAAATGTAGGTGTTTTGCTGCTGTGGCCTTACTTGCTCTGATGAGACCAGTAGCTCAGAGCAGCTACTTAACAGATCAAACTTAAAGGTCCTATATTGTATAAAGTAATATTTCCATGTTTTCTTTGATTATAAAGCAGGTCTATGTTCTACATTAATACTGTAAAAGTATCAAAGCGTTCAGTCCACAGAGAAATGCACACAGCCTGTATTCAGAAACTGAGCCTCACAACAAGCCGTCACAAAACGTGACGGCTTTGTTGTGATGTCACAACAAAGCAGTCACCACCCTCAGCCATGCCCCAAGCCTGGCCCACCCAGACCCACCATCCAACATTGCAGGATTTGGTTTCTCAGAGTGTTTACCTGAAATCTGTTATATTTTTATTCGATCACTCAGAAAACACTCAGCCAATCAGAAGAGAGGCTCAGAGCCTCTTCTCTGATTGGCTCACCGGCCTGTTATTCAAGTCTGAGAGAGGAGATGTAAAACTGCGTTGAGATCGTTTAAGACAAAAGGTTTTCGGTCACTTTGCAGGATCTACTTGTGCTACATATTAGAAAGACTCAGCATATAAAGCTATACGGCTAAAATGTTATATAATCGCCCATTTAGAAATCTAGCAGACACATAGCAATATTAGCATTCATTTGGAGGACTCTTTTGGGTAACCTGATGAATGTAAGTCCAATATTCACACACAACTTTAGCTGTTTTTGACCTTGACTAATTCCTGAGGGAAATACATGAGTAATTAGCTGCTAAATGCTCGGCTGTGTTCACCAGGTAGTTGGTGACTTTGTCATTCTGCTGTTTGATGCTCGGCAAGGTGAGTACGCATTTGGTTTATTTTTTATTTTAATGATAAGAAAAAACTGTGAAATTGTGGGCAACATTATAAACCATCATTTGACCCATATAAAAATATTAACTTTTGCAGCTTTAAAGCAACCAATGGCTGCTGTTCAACAAACGTTACATAGGCTTGCTTAAGTGCCACAAAAGTATTCTCTTTGAGCGGTCGGTCCGTGATACGATTGATTATTTGTAGAAGAAAATGAAACAGCACACATTGAGGAAATTTTCAGTCAGATTTTATATATCAATATATAGAGATATTCAAAAGTAATCCATTACGGAAAATCAAAAAGTGGAACCAGTTTGGTCTTATTACAGTATATCTTTGCATGTACAGTAGTTGGCTGATCCCTGTCCGTTTAATGAAAAACCCTAGAGGAAAATGAAAAAACTAAACAAAGGCACAAATAAACAAAACCAATCATCTCATTAACACTGAGGTTGGGAAGCGTTGCAAAGATGTGGGAGTTTTTTTGAGAGGAGACACCATATGTTACGTGGGTTAACGAAGAAAGAAGGGTTGCACACAAAGAGGATGCTAAATGATGCACAGCAAGAAACAACACAAACCACTTTGGTGGAGAATTCAAATCTCATACAATCAGGGAATGCAGTGCGCTCCTTTATACAAATAAATTAATATACCTGTCAACACTTTATCTAAAATCTTATGTACATCTTTTCTTTTACATAATTGTATAATACATTATCAAAAACCTTATGAAAACATATTTACAAATCAATGAATCAAAAAGCACCCTCAGAGCTTCTCCAGTGTCACACACATACAACACACACACACACACACGCACTTACACACCTGTGTATCCACACAACTGTGTATCATACACTGTTTTTCTTCCATGCAATACACAATACAGAAGGCATTCTAAGAGGGTTGTGCAACAAAGAGCATACAAAACAGTTTCAAATATGGCTGTGGGATGAACATTAGCACTCACATGCATAATAATTAACACACACACAAACACACACACACTCTCTCTCTCACACACACACACACACACACACACACACACACACACACACACACACACACACACACACACACACACACACACACACACACACCTACCTAGACTTTTGAGGTTTATGGATGGAGTAACAGCTTTAATGACGGGACTTAACCAGCATGAAACATCTTCACCGACAGGGCAAGTTGGCCTCAACCTCATTACATCAGAGTCTGATTTTTGTTTTCTGTGGTTACATCACATAACAAGTCGTTCTCATCATGCAGCCACCAGCTGGGCCCTCCCACATGGCACGATCCAAAACTGTCTGCTCAGATATCGGCCATCTCAGGGGGAAGAGAGCAGGCGTGGAATCTAGCTCGCTTTTGTGAATGTGTGCGTGCGCGTGTGTGTATCTCGCCTGGAACAATGAATGGCTGCATTGTCAGTTGGTGAGCAATTATGCATGCTATTTGTGTTTTCGGAGGGCAAGTGCGCATTGTCTCCGTTCCTCTGGAGAACAGCGTGAGTTTGCTATCACTGCACCCTGTGTGTATTTATGTGTAAATTTGTCACAGTCAAAAGCAGGTGATCAAATAAAACTCTAAACACTCAAGGATTTTTGTCAAACATGTGACTCTGCGGCCTGACTAAAAGCCGCAGTCTATTGCTTCTCACGAACCATTTAACATCTAAAAAAGAAAAGTCACAGTTAAGAAGACAGAACCCTAACCTGTGTAAAATCCACTTCCCTCTGATCTCATGACCGGTCTGCTCATAGAAAGCAAAGGTCTAAATACTGTATGTGTCCACTTTCTCCTTTCCAGTCTGCAAAATTGTTGTACTCTCTCAAAACTCTGGACTCTTGAGGGTCAAATAAATACATAACCCCGCAAATCAATTGTGTTCAACTGCACTCTGTTAGACAACTCATCCTTACAGGCTTGCCCCTGAACCAGAGAGAAAGCACAAAATGCGGATGATAACCTTTCTTTAAAATTAATCATAGAATGGAAAAAATCTCATAAAAAACCCATCCAACTGTAAACTACACAAGACAGCTCCAGTAATGACATTTATGATTGATTCTAACATGAATCTGTACAGATTGTCCCATCAACGCAGGTGCTGCCCTGCTTTTACAGCTCCTTCTCCTTCCTAAACAGTGTTCCCAGAGCTCCACAGGAATAACACAAAGCCCAAATTAATACATCAAGGACGAGACGTGACCTCTCACTAGCCCTGTCACAAAATATAAGACACACAGCACACAGCTCACTCAGTTATCAAAGTAAAAAGACTGACAGTCTGACTCCATATCCCATCTTAGGTCAATGTTGGGAACACATTAGCACACATGAATAATTCTGTAATTAATTCTCAGCATTTACCAGAGAAAAAATAGATCCAGCTCCAGCACAGAAAAGGAATGAAATTACTTATATTAAGAATCATGTTCATCTCATTTAACACTGGTGTTTTTCAAATGGAAATTGGCATAGTATATGGATGTGAATGTCTGCATGTAACACTTGATGATATGTTGTTTGTCCCTTCAGAAAACTCAGTCCAAGTCACCCCTGACCTCACTGTGTGTGCGTGTGCCTGAGCGGCCATCTTCTCCGGAAGTCGCACCCGAGGGTCACTTTGCAGTGGAGAGCATGGGCTGCTCCGTGTACCAGTGAGTCCCTGGATCGGGCATGCTGCCCCCGAGTGGCAGGGCGATGAACTGCGGGCACGTTCCACCTCCTGCTCCCACAACACCCATGCTGACGCCCTGCGGGTACGGGTGATGGTGCGTGTGGTGTCCCATGCCATCAGTCCGCCCGATGTGGATCTCGTCCTCCTCGCCCTCGCCGGTGGTCTTGCGGTAGACGGGGTTGTCGAAGTTCATGCTCTTGGTGGAATTGCGCCGCCAGTTGCGCCACACCAGGTAGACTCCGGCACAGACCAGGCCGAACACCACTGTGGCAACGATAGGAACTGCATGCGTTTAACACACAGCGGCGGGGAAATGGGAAGGGGGGAGCGTTAACGAGGCATAACGAGTCCATGGCATGAAATGACAGGCACAGAGAGGAGCAGAACAGGCATGCGGGGGACAGAGAGGGCAGGGGTCGGCGGTACAGAGGTTGTGTGTGTATGTGGCTCCGCCAAACATCGGGTCAAAGTCGGGTCAAGCACCAACCAACTGATTTTGAACACAGACTCTAAATCAGCTGTGCAGAGCACCATTAGTGGCCTGGCTTTGGAGGAAATTACTTTTAAACTATCCTTGGGGAGAACAAATTTAAACTATCACATTACATCACAATCTCTTGGCAACTCATTCACAGCAAATCATCTGACCTTGAATAAGCAATGTAATTTAATAATGCCTTTTTAAATTACACCACTAAAGCACTAATAAAGCTTTCATGCTTTATTGGTGTCTTTTTTTCTCTCTCCTGTACTGTCTGTTCACCTTATGAAGTATAATGAGAGCAGTCCATCTCAGCTAATTGGCTGACTCAATTTGTTTAGGTTCATTTACTTCACTATTATTTATTGGTGTTGCTTATTTTAACCTCATACTGTAGATGAACAGAAGTCTGCGCTTAAGTATGTTTATTTTCCTCCAGCCTTAAGTTTTTTTTTATTGTTTTTTTTCACAAGTGGTGTCAAAGCAGGACCAGTATTCCCGCGGGAAACGATTATTTTAATCAAACCGTATTCTTCTTTAAAAGGGGGTCTTTTTTTTCTAGTCTTTCCTAAATAAAAACATCCGAGCAAAATGGTAAGGAATGAATTAAACTGTGTATTTATCTGCTCTATTTATTCTGTTTATTATATTTATTCTGCAGTTGCTAGCATGTTCGGCCAACTGGTTTTCTACTTACAGCTATAAACAAGCATTACTTTGAAGGCACAGGCACATCATTAACCAAACACATTGGGGTTACAAGTTACATTCAAAAAGATCTGTTTATGCTGGATGCTAACAGAGTTTGGGCTAACGTTGTGCTATTCACTGAATCTAAGGAAGTTTACACCCAGGGAACGTTACCTGAGATAGCGTTACAATTGCCAAAAACATCAGTCTTCATCCTAAAAGCGTTTTGTCATGTAACATTATAAATGAAGACTAGTTCTACATTGTAATAAAAGAACAATGCTGTTTCTTTATTCTACATGAAGCATCAACTGATTAGCATGCTGCTGTTTTGTCTGGAGAATTCAGGTTTAGCCTCAGTGTGTTAGCGTACTAGCACATCTTATAGCTTTGTTTTATATATTTAAGATTTTAAAACAAGTTACCTGGAAACACACTGGACAGTGTTTCAACCAACTAATGAAGTTGACGTTAGCGTAATTTTCTACAGCTAACAGACAGTGGTCATTTTAGCTGGTAAAATCAATGGACGCTGGCTAGAAATGAGAAGTTGATTCAAGTGCCACTTGTTTCAGTAATTACTTAAGATTTTCAGGGTAAACTACCTATGTGCTGAGAACGAAAAGAGTGACAGGCGTAGCAGCAGTAGCTTATCATTAGAGCTAAGTGAGAAGAATGTTTTAAATGCTTTCTTATAGCTCTATAGTTTGTCAAAATAAAGGGAAACAAAAGGTCTGACAGGGAGTCCTCTGGCTGTAGCAGAACCCAACACAACAACACAATGTGAGGTGAGTAATGCAGTGTGGCAGCAATGTCAGACTCACAGAAAATGACTTGTGAAAAAACTCGAGGAAGACCTGTGGGCCAGGTTTCTCTCATCCTGCCACAGCAGGGTCAGTGTGAACGGACTACAAAGAGAGTGGCCATAGGCAGCAGGTAGACAGCAGCTTTACACAGCCCCGCGGGCCTTTAGTGCAGAAAGACAAACACAGACAAGGAAGCTTACCGATGGGGATGACCACTCCCAAAACAGCCACTGTCAGGTTCTCGCCCATGAGGAAATGCTCACCTCCAGCTGTACAGAGAGATGAAACGAGAGAGAGGAGTTAGAGCAAGAAGATGAAAACACAGCGGAGCGAGAGAGGATAAGAGTGAGAAAGTGTATAGGATAGAGAAAAAAAATGTGTGAGAAATAGAGTGAGAGATAAGCAGGAAGGGAAAGCCGGCGGTAGAGAGGGGAGATAAAACAGCGAGGCAGGGAGCAGGTGATCATGCGTGCACAGCCGTGAGTGTTTTACAAAGAGGAGTCAGATAGTGAAAAAGAGGCTGGAACAAAAATGAAAGAGGGAGCGAAAAATGACGAGTTGGTTGACATTTGCCGGAGTGCGACCTTGACACTACCCCGTGACCTTCTACTCTTCATCCGTCTCTGCTCCATCAGGCTCCGATGTCACCTCACCGTTCACACTCATTTACATACCACGCGCTTACTAACGCGTACTCCTCGTGGTATGCACACTTACGCAGCAGCACCACACGCACTCGATGGCATGCAACAGCCCACACAGGGCACAATTTATGGAGGGAAAGGTGGCATTTCCTCTGTGACAAGGTACCATCCATCACTCTTATTAAAGTCAGCGGAGCGTGGCTGTTGGGTCTTGCAGATATCTCACTTTAATGCCATCATTACAGTGAGGGTGAGGTTGTTAGCTACATTACGAGTGTGAGTAGGACCAGAGGATGTGGTACTTGGCAGGAGATGTGGGCGCGCAGGTGAAAGCGGCTCTTTATCAGAAGACTGAGCTCCATCTCTTGTGAACTCCTGAATGGGCCACTCTGCCCTTTTCAAATCATACAGAGCACCCCACATTAGAGATGTTGATCACGTAGGGCTGGAGATTTTACAGTGACAAATCTCGAAATCTTAATGTTCAAATGTGACATCAAGGCATGAATTCCCACATGTCTGTTTTTCAGACTCCACATGAGACATATATGCAGTATTAGTATATTGTATAGTACATAGTAGAGAAGTATTTGCTGCAATCACACAGGCAGAACTGATAAAAAAGGATTTTGAATTCACTTACAGTGCTGCGACACGCTGCTGTCCCCTGCAGGTGTGGTGGAGATGACCATAGTGGTGGCTGTGGAGTGGGAGCCCAGCGCCTTCGACTCCTGTGATGACACAGGCTTAAGCGTGGAGAGGGGTGTGAGGGGGTCTGGGGCATCAGAGGGAGCTGTGGTCAAGTGAGGGGTGGCGTCCGCCTGTGAAACTCCCCCCGAAGGCGGAGGGAAGTTTTCAGCAACAGTCGCTCTGGTGCCGGGTGTAAGTCCAGCGGGAGGTGTGGATGTTGTTGTTGTGTCGTTTCTTGGTGCTGCTACAAGTAAAGGAAGAAGGCAGCTCAAACCTTCAGCTCAAGAAAATGAATTGGTATAAATGTGTTAAAGCCCCTGAAAATGCAGTTTCAAGTCTGAAGTATTTCTCTATGACCTGAGTAGTACTTTGACATTTGAGAAAATATGCTTATTCACTTTCTTGCAGAGACTTAGATGAGGTGATTGATACCACGCTCGGTTCAGAGTCTCTCTATTAAACATGAGGCTACAGCCGAGAAATGGTTGGCTTATCTGAGCGTGACTGGAGACAGGGCGAAACAGCAAGTTTGTCTCTGTCCAAATGTGACAACATCCAGTGATTTCACTTTTGGAAAGAAATTGAAAAACTTATTCAAACTATTCCATTAAATATTCTTTAAATATCAGGGCTAATAATCTCGACATTAAAGTTCAGGAACAAACTCATTAAAAAAAAAAAAACTCAGCTCCTGTGCTCCGTCAGGCCGTCAGTGTGGGTGTGGTTTGCAGATCAAATGTGATTGACAGTGGCCTGCCAACATATACAAACAACCACACGACTGTGGTCACATTTTGATGAAAATGTTCCAGTGCGAGGAGCAGAGATAACGCCACAGATACGGAAATCTCTCAGGTAAACACAGTAAGATTGAGAAAATGTGTTTTCGGGGCCTCTTAGTGCATCCACTCCTACTGTAGTCTGTTTACATACTATTTCATATGGATATATTCATTGATATTTCTGTATGAAATGGCATATGGCTGTAGTCATCTGCATAATGGTGCTGTGAGATCTATGATAAACAAAACAACCTAATAACCAAAAATCAACATTCTGCGCTCATATGACCTGGAGGCTGGACATAAACATCAGCTCAAAACACAGCAGTGCACTTCATGTCATAAATACTTGCTCTGTGAAGTTTGTAATGCTTCTTTTAGTCACAACATTCTGCTTTATAATTACGTGGAGCACAACTGATCCCCTCCCCTCCCTGGGGCGACAGAACGGCACGCACACTGTACAGTATGTAATAAAGCAACGTGACACAATTTCATTAGCTATCCAGAGGTGGTATTTGTTCCAGAGATGTGTTGTGTTAGATTGCATTACGTTGCATAGTGGTCCATGTTATTGTATCCACCCGCTGCATGTGTTGCTTAGCAACTACCTTTTTTAGTTCAGGAGCTACAGTATGTTGCTTGGAGGAAGCATATCTAATAATTTATTATCAATTATCACCTACTACAAATAAATTATTTATTAATTCACTGCATGTGTTCCACTGTATTACCTCTGTGATAAAATGCATTAAGCCACCTATAGAGTTTTAGGCAGTTCTACTTACTTGAATAAAATGTGAAATAATAGTTTAACTAACTTTGAAAAGTTAATTATGATATATTATTTTAAAGTTTTTCTCCTTATTAAACGGGAACACTATGTTAGTTATACAGAGCTGTTATAATACAATACAGAACACGTGCAAGATTACCAAGTCATACATTTTTAAGTTCTGCCAGATGAACCATGAATATAATTCAATTCATTATTATGTTTATTTTATTAAGAATCTCTCCTGCCTTGTTAGATTTTAGGAAATTTTACATTTTCTATGTTTTGCTTCATTGTTTTTACTGTAAAACACTTTGTAACTGTGTGTAGAAGTTATAGATAATTAAAAAAGTTTATTCTTATTCTTCTTACTATAACACTATCTACTTACTAAACATCTGTCAGCACCAGCCTGGTCTCTTTTTAATTCAGTAAGCGGCTGCCCAAAATTGTTCAAAGTTCCCCCTCTGATCACACTTGACACACACACGCACAAAACAGCTTCCTTAAGTGAGGCAAAATCAGATTATCTGCACAGTAAGCACTGTGGCGCTCTGCCCAACAAATCCCTTTACGTGCTATTGATTACTAAATACTCTCAATTACCAGTCATAAACACACTCACCTGGCACACATCCCCTCATATCGGGGCCCAGGTCCTGTCCGTCGGGGCAGGCGCAGGTGTATTTGGGTGAGTGTTCGGTTATCTGTGGAGCCTTGAGACACAAGTACTCACAGCCTCCATTGGCCACGCTTCCCAGATTACAGCTGTCTGGGCCTGGAGACAGTGACAGAGAGAAAGGGAGCCGACATGAAGAACTACACAGTTATGGTTACATAAATAAGATTATCACTTATTCAGCTTGGGGAGATAGCGGAGAGTCAGACAGAGACAGAAGAAGCTGCTGTGCTCTGTTGTTCCCTTTCATCAAAGCCTGTAACTTTGTGTAAACAAAATCAAAAAGAATACACAGAATAAAATCCAGCAACACACAGACATGTGATGTAAATATTAACCAGTTTCTGTGCTGCTGTCCCAGGTACAACTCCACTGTGTTCATCCTTAAGCCTTTAGTTTAAATACAAACTTGGAAAGACAAGTTCGAATTGTAAAGATGGTGATGAAATGCGGTGAAAGATATAGAAATGGGCATGGACTATACACTGGGAGGGAAGAATAGATAAGAAACAGGCAGGCAGATATAGATATGGAAACTGACACAGGGAAAGAAAATACAACCAGCCACCGCACTGATGATTAAGAGCTCTGTTCAGTCTAGATTTGACAGACGTGCGAATGTGCTGCTGCTCCCACAGCTTTGATCAGTCTACCACAGTCACAAGCCTCACTATTATTTATTCATGTGCCGGAGTCGGCACGGACCCACGGAGGAAACTTGGTCACAGAGATACGACTCGCACAGTCGCAGTGAGACGAGGTGTGATGAATAAACAGGCACACGGCCAAAGTCTCTCACGCGTACTGTTCACTTACCTTGCGGCTGCCGGAGTTGGTGGAAGACAACAATGTCATGAGGGTCGTTGAGGTTTTCAGCCAGCGTGTGGATTTCCTGACCGGTCAGCCTGTTGGCCATGAAGACTGCTGCTCTGTCTCTGTCTGTCCAGTAGATCCGATCCTGAGGAACGGGGAAAAATATATCTTGATATTAGTAATACACAAGTTCACCAGGGTTGTGTTGGGCGAAGAGGACTGCATAAAGCTTTCTATTCTTGAATTTACATGTCGGTTTTAGTATTAGTTTTTAGTTATTTGGAGTAATTTTATTCATGATGATATGGGCATTGGTCACCTGGACTCATACATCCGTACTATTTACAGCCATGCTAACGGCGTGGCTCTAGGATTGGCAGTGTCGGTCCGTTGGTTAGTCCAACTCTTCATGGGTTGCTGTGAAATTCTGTACAAACATTCATAGACAGACAATGAATCCTATCTATTTTGATCATCCTCTGAGTTTTCCTCTAGCGCCACCATGAGGTCAACAGTTGTGGTTTTAAGTTTGTCAGCGACTACAGGATACATCTGGTCTACACTTGTCAGTTTGTCCGGCTCCACTTAACACTATAAATTTGTGTTTTTATGGCTAAACAGTTGCAAAACGAATCTCCTGGGGTGCTAATTAGAATATGACAGCATGCTAACACGCTCAGCTAACATGGTGAACATGGGAAACATTACGCCTACTTAACATCAACATGCTAGCTTTGTCTTTGTGAGCATTTTAGCATTTAAATGTACATTTACTCATTTAGCATCGATGCTTTTATCCAAAGCGACTTACAAGTGAGGTGCAGTGGGAGACTTCGGTGTAAGTACTAAGTTCTACATCTGTTCATTCAGTTCATCGCACTGTGCCAATGTAAAGCCTCACAGAGCTGCTAGCAGGGTTGTAGACTCTTAGTCTTCTTACATGAAGATCCACCATGGAAGTAAGTCTTGGATTTATTCATGTGATCCTGGATGATTTGAGTTCCTTCTCCTCATAATGTCAACTAAACTAAAACTAAAACTAGTACATGTTTTATAACATTTTATAGTATACAGTATATAGCAAAATGTATTGACAGTGCTGAGCAGTTCACTTTCTGAAAGTCACACATGTAAAGAATCCTTGAATATAAATGTGTTTATGTTCAGGGGACAGAATATGGGTCAATGGAACAATAGATAAAACTGATGACTGAAAAGAAACTAAGGGACAGAGACCTAAACAGAGAGAGCAGAGAGAGAGGAGGCATGCTGAGGGAGATTACACAGGGCTAGATGCTGTCACTGCTTAACTAACAGTGCTCACAACTGGAAAATGACAGAGAGAAAATTAGGGCAAGTTAAATATGCACTGATACATATTTGTTTCCACATACAGTTTAATTCATTATCTTTTATAGAAAAGATGATGTTAATTTGGCTTTTTCTGCAAATATTATGAGCGGTTGAATACATTAAGGAAATGCACATGCAGGTTTAGTGGCAACTAAGGGTTTTTCTTTCAGTCTGAGCAGCAGGCATGTGATAAATGGGACAGTGACACGTTGTTGTAGAAGAGGATTCAATCTATCATTTGGCTTTCTTTTTATTGGTTTTCAGAGTCTGCCATATCCTTTGTGGTTCGTTACAGCATTGGCTCTTAAATGATTAAAACGTATCCTATTTAGATCAAAGTACAGTAGCTTAATGGCAAATTTTTTACCATCCTTGTTGTTTATTAATTTATTTGTTTGCTTTGTTTCCCGAGTTCACTCCCACAGCAGTTAAAAAAAAAACTGTTTTAGACAGGAGCTGATATTTTTTGCGGTTGCCTTAGAAACTACGCGCTAATCTCCAGCAATTGGCGAGACAGTATGCCTCGCCACATGAGTGTGTGTCTGTGTGTGTTTGTGTTGAGTCAGTCATTGAGTCAGACAGAGATGGTAATGTGATGTACACTACAACTACCTAGTGTGTTCAGCTCCCTGAACAAGAAGGTCACCTTGTAGTCACAACAGGGTAGAGAGCAGAGAATCCCCAGATCGATTACACATCACACCAGAGGGGATTTATCATCATTACTCCGACTTACGCTACAGCGCAGGGGAGTCTGCAGGAGTGAAATTTGAATCCAGTCTTAGTGTTTTGACTTGATCACCCCGTACAAGTGTCATGACTCCTGACTTCACAAATGTAATTCAAGACTAAGTGGATGTTTTCTAAAATTGATTCTTATACATTTGCACTGCTGCAGAATGAAATCTGTATCTCTGCTCCCACTGAGACCAGTTCCTCTTGAGAGGCGTCTCACTGGGAAATAGGCCACTTGGGTGATGTCATTACCACCCATCTGAAACTGGCTGGGAGATAGCTGCAGTGCAACAACAGGGTCATCTCAGACAAGAGTTTGTAAGCAAAAGCCTGCTTGCACACAGGCACAAACCACAAGGTAGCGGCTTTGCTGGACCACTTGGCATCGAACCAGAATCAAGCACTCTGATGGCTCTGACATATCACACACAGGGAAGCTGGCTGATGACCAAGAGCATAAGTGTGTGTGTGTGTGTGTGTGTGTGTGTCTGTGTGTGTGTGTGTGTGTGTGTGTGTGTCTGTGTGTGTGTGTGTGTGTGTGTGTGTGTGTTTGTGTGTTGCATTGCTTTAGGCTGCTCTCTATTCCGTATAGCAGTCATCTGTTTAGTATGCTCAGCCTGTCAATCCCACAAGGGAAAACATCCTAAAGACACACACACACACACACACACACACACACACACACACACACACACACACACACACACACACACACACACACACACAGAGCATACAATAAATTTAATTTAACAGTCATTACATTCAAATTCCCAGTTACACTGCAGGCCCCTGAGAGGCTAATGAGAGAGATGTAGATATGATGAGTTGTGGGAGGCTGGATGAGATCATGGACAACTGCCCAAAATCCTTCCAGTCTATTGCTGAGTGTTACAGTACGAGAGACTGAGATCTATAAAGTGGCGCACATGCACAAACCTCAAAAACAGCCAGAGCGTAGGGGTGTCCCAGCCTCTCTGCAGACGACATGTGTGTCCTGCGGTGAGCTCCGTTCAGGTCCACGCTGGCTATGAGGTGCAGCTTTGAATCCACCCAGTACAGACGCCTGTTGGCTACATCTGGGAAACACACACACACACACACACACACACACACACACACACACACATATAAAGATAAGACTTTCCCAAGCTGAGTGGAAATTGATTGTCTTCACGATAAGCACTCTGGCACCCTGGCCAACAAATCCCTTCAGGTGATATTGATTAAGTTTTAAAATGTCAGATTCTCACGATTACATCACTGACACACTTCAAATATCATTCCAAAGCAAATGTGAGAACTTCAAAACAACTTTAAACATTACCCCTACTATTTCAATTACTATTGACCTTTACCTACAATGAGTTGAATGAGTGTTTTAGCTCCTCTCAGGCACATTTAGCAACACACAACAATTGCCAGAAAAGTGTAAAATATAGTTCAGTGTAATACCGAACTTAAGAACATGGGTTGAAAAACAGCTGTTCTCACCTAAAGTGATGCCATTGGGCCATTCAATGTTATCAGCCACCAACACCTGTCGGTCCACTCCATTCATCCCCGCCTTCTCTATCTTGGCTCGTGTGCCCCAGTCTGACCAGTACATAAAGCTGGAGAAAAAACAACATATTATGTTATTGTTATAGCGTGTTCATGAAGCGCTGCTGTGCTCAGCAAGAAATGTGATAATAAATCTACAGTGTACTACTAGACAACTGTTTTCTTTAATAATGCAGTTATTATTCTCTGGTGACATTGGTGTGATGTGTATTCTGTAACAATCAGTGTGTCCAGAACATTTCCCTCGAATTCTTCAGTTTTGCGTTTCTGTTCAGTAGGTAGGGCTTTGTTTCCATTCCCCCAGACACCAGCACGGCTGCTTTCCTAAATTTCTGTCTATTTTTTTTTTTTTTTTTTTTTTTTTTTTTTTTTATTTAGGTAAAAGTCTTTTATATCTATATTTACTATGGGGACTGCACCACAGTATTTGCACAAGCAAGATGAAAAGCAATGGTGCTAAAACAATTATGCACTATGCAGCCTAAAAGCAAAATAAAAACAGCAAAGAGAACAAACATTTTTAGAAATGGCAGCTGAAAACATGATTTTTCACTACGGACTGAACAGTACTGCAGAGGTCTTATCGACCACTCAAAGCGCTTCACACTACAAGCCACATTCATACAACACTTTCTTTTACACATACAGCACTTCTACCAAACACACACTCATACACTGATGGAACAGCCATCAGAGGCAATTTGGGGTTCAGTATCTTGCCCAAGGACACGAGGACCGGAGGAGCCAGTGGTTGAATCATCGACCCTCTGATTAGTGGAGGATTTAACATCTGTGAATACCAGAAATTTCTGCTAATAGCCACTGGTACATTATAAAACCACTTGATGGCAGATGTAGCAACAGGAATTCAGATTACTGCAGCAAGAAGACAGATCTGTATAAAGCTCAATTTATGGGAGCTGTCCGTTCAGCACCACAAAACCACAACACAAGTGGATTTGTCTCCCAGTTGCTTCCTGCTTTAATCTTCAGTTGTCCTAACTTAATAGTAGTAGCCTAGTGCCTTGTTATTAGGAGGCAGCTGATATATATATATAAATATATATAAAAATTAGTTCATATAACTTATTATACTTTACATTTTTTAAATGACCAGAAATCCCCCAGATTGTTCTTTTATAATTCCAGGAGGCCTCTGACCTTGTACAAGCTGACAGGAATATTTAACTATTTCATTACTATTTTTGTCCTTGAGGGTGGAGTATGCCCTTCCACTTGATATTTCAAGTTTATTAGCAGGCAACATCCATTTTCTTCTGCACTTTCTTGCTTTCCAGATGTGTGCAAGACACATGGTCCTTTATGTCATAATTAATAGCTTTGCATTCAATTTAACTCTGTGGCTGTGCTAAATCACCAGCATTAGTAAATACTCTGCTAAACCAGCCAATTCAAATGCTGTTGCTGTACGAGTTCAGCATAGTTTGAATGGTTATTGGGCAATCAGACGGAGATCATAGCAGGAAAGTACACACTGATTTACACAGTCATTTCCATGTAAATGATTATTACTGACATCAAGTGAATTTCCCTGCAAAGACTGAACTGTCATTTGGCGTCACAGTGAGCGTTCTGCGTGTGCTGGATTCCTGTTGGGCAGTTATGATTGGGTCTGTAATGTGTACAAAATCTCACAGTGTGTACGCTTCTGTTTAGGCTATGTGCCTGTTTATTTTAGTTCATTTCTGTGCATGTTTGTTCTCATCTGGGTTTGGATCACCAGAACAAAAAAAAAAAAAAAAAAAGCTGCAGAAGCAAATGCTGGCACAAAAATTCATAAAGCTTCCCAGATTAGGCGCGATCATCTAGGACAGAATTTCTAAAAAATCATTGAGTCAGGACTCTAAATGGGTCACAGGCTTGTTACTCTGGATCCCCATGTACAGCAACAAGAGTTCTCTTATGTTTGTCATTAGACATGGTCCCGGAAGAGGATTATGTTTATTCAATTTCTGGGTCCCAAGCTGAAATCACTTTACAAATCTTCATCTGGGGTCATCGACCATCATCTTCAGTATTGTAGATGAGGAATAAACAAGATAGCACAGTGACTGCCAGCATATTCAAAGAGATATGGAGGAGGGCACTTACATATCAACAGTCTGACACCATTTTATCTTGACGCACTGACAGTTGTTATATAAATTTACAGCATGCAGTTCAGTAATTAGCATACTTTTTGAGATTAGAGCCAAACTGCAGGTTGGTGGTTTCTTGCACTGTAATGATCAATACAGATAATGGTTTAATGATCATAAGTATTGATCCTTTCATTCAAATCTTTAGAAAATTGCCTCAATGCTTGATTTGTAAACCTAGGGCATTTGACATTGTGCGCCTGGACAAAGACACACTTGACATATCCATCTCACCCATGGTGGGGATCCAGCGCTATGGCTCGGGGCTCACTAAGGTCAGTGTTGATGAGGACACGTCTCTTGGTGCCGTCCACTGACGCCACAGAGATGGATTTGTCTCCAGAGTCGGTCCAGTACAGGTTGTGCTGGAGCCAGTCCAGAGCCAGGCCCACAGGGGTCTGCAGAGATGAATCTACCAGCGGCACCTGCTGGGAGGGGTCACTGGCCTCGTGGATAAACGCACTGCAGGGAGACAGAGAGGGAGCAAGGAGTATTTTGAAGGGAGGAGAATATATAAGGAATCATCTACAGGAAGCCAGCCATTATTGCAAAATCGATGTGAAGTGGAGGGAGGCTGACAACGTGGTGGGCCTTATTTTGTGATAATGAGTCTGTAAACACTATCCTCCTTATTAAGTGGAAGCCTACCAGAAACATTTATCATTGTAAAGTATTGACTGCAGTGATTTCATTACAGGCTGAAGCATTTTACAAACATTTCCTTAAAAGTATTTAGATTGTAAAAATAACCACAGAAGCAAATCTGAATAAATGAAGGGATGATAATACAGTTAAAAAGCTTTTATGTTTGTCTAAATTAAGCAAAAATTGAAGTCAGTTTGTGTTTGGTGCATTCATTTGATCACTTGTGAGTAGATATAAAGTGGATGTTTGGGCTCATACGGGACAATCACAGGACAAGTGGATACCACATACAGATAATGTGTGATCACTGCTGACATGTGCTGTAAAGCGACTGCAGAGCGGAGAGTGGGACCGGTGTGCGAGCTGTAGCCTTGGGCCATGCGCTGAGCAGGTTCATCCGGGGGTTAGTGTCCTTCTTAGGTGGACCCCTTATCAGAATAGACAAGGCCTCACTCAGGGGTTGCCCTGCGCGCTAATGACTTGGCCCCAGCAGAGGTGTGAGGTGAGGGCCAGGCAGCTGTGCTCCCTAACAGGAATTTCAATTTTAGTTTCCCCAGAGATCTTTTCTCTTAACATCCATTTTATAAGGAGAACACAGTGCTCCAATTAGAATAGACTGGGGGGGTGGGGGGTGTCGTAGTTGGGATAACAAGAGGAGGGCTGGAATTAATCTGGAATAACAGCAGGTCTCGGCCATCGACTCGGAAACAAAAACATTCATCTTGCAAGACGTGAGCATTTTGGTAGAAATAAACTTATTCATCCTGAAAACTGGAAAGTAAACAACAAATATCATGAAAACAAACAGACGAAACATCTGTTGCATTCAAGATTCATGATGCAACTGCTACATCAATTAACTGTATTTAAAATAACATCTGTGTTAAAATGCATTACTCAGGACAAAGTCAAACTTTTATAAAAATAAGGCATAAAGTGAGGCTTCCCTTTCTAGACTTTCTAGCCTCAGTTTCTAACTTAAGTTTAGACTTTTAATCTAAGGTCAAGTTTGCTGCTGGATGTTGTTTAAATGAAGCAATGTACCAACAAAGGCAGGGAAGAGGAGGACTGTGAGTGAACATGAATGTAAACAATGCATGGCTCATATTACACCCTTTGTAAAACATGATTAGATACATGAATTCCAAAGAATCTTTCTTTTATTATCTAATCTGACTGTCAATCATAAACTGGATAACAATAACAATTCTTACTTTAGTTGTTCTAACACTAGTGCCACCCCTTGACATTATTATTACTGGTGGGACTTTGCAGTGCAACATTTTGCCAAACAGCTGAGAGTTTAACACTATTTACTGGAAATCAATTCTTCTTCACTGCTCTAAAACAGTAGTTGCCAGTGGCTGCACAGCACTACTTCCTGTGTAGGCTATCAGAGGCATTTCTGATACTAGTACTGGTATCGGAACAACTCTATCCTAAAATCCAAATTCAAACATATAAAATCAAATCAACATCAAGTTTCTGATCTACCACATCAGGTAGTAGTAAGTAACTGGAACTCCGGTTTCCATTCTTCGTTTACCTGTAGATTTTGCGATGAAAGCGATCGCACCAGAAGACACGGTTGTTGGCCACATCCAGGTCCAGAGCTACTGCGTTCTTCTGCGTGGACACCACCTGGCTGTAGTCCCTCTTCACCAGGTCGATGCGTCGGATCTCATGCCGATTGGTGAACAGCAGATAAGGGCTTTTCCCTACGAGCAAAGCAAAGAAATGAAGTCAGCATCAAAGTGTGGATGAGGGCACGCAGCTATATTTTACAGTGCAGGGCAATTTATAAAAGGTGCTGAAGCAGGATGAATACATTGTTAGTGAGAGGAATACATTAGAGTTGGGATGTGCTTCAGTAATGCCCAGTCAAACCAGCTCTGACAGTTTGGTAGTGGGCCAAAAGAAGGGCTCAAGCTGGTATCTCTTATTAGAAAAATGCTCTCGTCCAGGAGCTCCACACATCATCCATGCACAGCACCGTTAATGTGATTTAAATTCGGCAGCAAGGGCAGTGCATTAAAATAATTCCAACCTATATCTAGCGAAATCAAGTTCACTAAACACATTCTGAGCAAGCATGGTCTGGATTTAGATTGAATCAGAAATAATGGCTGTGCCTGCGCTTATGTCAATAATTAAACCCAAAACATACAGCGCTGTTCTGGGGTAAAGGAAGGACATAAAAAAGAAAAACAGAAGATGCCGATAAGCCTGCGAGATTGTTTTTTCACACCAGCATCGTAATGTTTGTGTGCTGGACTCGAGACTGTTGACCCTGATGGGAAACGCTGCGTGTCAGGGAAGGATGTAGACATTTCTCCATGGTAACATCACGGTGGCTTCACCACTGTGTCAAAACGTGCTGCACCTTAATGTGCTGCTGCACATCTGTAACACCAAAGTCAATACGCTGAATGTGATCTTTTCACACAGATAAATAACACAGAAAAGCTTGTGTGATACAACTCAATATCCTCCTCTAACAAGAGTGCAGGGACAATAATCCTTCATTAAAAACTGCTGAATAGTCGTAGCATTGATCAGTGCGTCTGTATGCATCATTAAGTTGTACGCTCCTTATTATTTTCTGCTTGAGAATATAGATCTGGAATACCTTAGCATTCTGCTGCCTCTCCTTCAACAGCACACAGGCAGCAGAATTAAATACACATGAATGAAAACACTCACACACAGTAAAAAACTAGTAATTTCCTCCGAAGGCTGATAAACAACCTTGAACAAAGTGAAAGAGTGTTCTCTCCTTATCTTAGCCTTAGCTAACACAAAACAATCAGGATCAGTTATGGACTTCCCTCAAACTCAACTGCAACAAAATTGAACCCATAAATACAACAAAATAAAATTAAATGTTGAGGCCGGCACTGTGCCTATCAAACGGATTGGGCTCACCTGGCAGCACAATGCACCTTAAATGCTTCTCTTGTGATCACTTGTGATTGGATTTTTCCATTCCACGCTACCATTTGATTTTTATCAGTCAGCTAACTGTGAGTCAGCTAACATTTTCATACAGAGACAGAGAAGAAGACTGCAGTAGATATTTGCATACTGGATACAAGTACACAGAGAAACACATTTGTCAACAAAATTGTGATATGACATTATATGTCATTGAGACATGTAGGGACTGCAGCTAACAGCTGTGTAATGCTATAATCGTGCTAAAGAGTTGACTTTGCATTTCCTTGCTTGGACACATGTCCCTGCACCTCAGCGCCTACATCCCACAGTGTCCTTGTTTCATTTTGGGTACATTCACACCTATTTTTAGAGCTGTCCGCTCGTGATAAGGTCAGTTAGGATGCATTATAATTAGAGTCAGATGTGCACAGGGGCCTTAGACACATTTATATTATCATTTCCCTACACTGATTCTGTTATAAATCTGGCAAGGAAAAAGCCAAGTGAGTAACAGACACAGTGTGAGCCTGCAGGGAGGGTTTTATCACTCTAGCTAGCAAATACAGCCCACCTTTGTCTTGTAACATCTATATTGAGCCTATATCTTCCTGACAGTGTACGGTAATAGGACGGCAGCTGCAGCCAGTTATCTCCAGAGGCAGATATGAAAATCTCTCATTAATGGCTCGCTTGCCTCAGTTTCCCCCTTTGACAGTCTGTGTCGTAGCCTCATTGTAGTATCGTACTGCCGCATGTTCCCTGTTCCTGCCCTCCCCTTCCTCTCCCAGCCCAAAGTCTGAATGATGAGAGAACCATTCAGGACTAAGTGTTCTCCAAAAAACTGGCCATTACAATGACAACATTTCCAACCCCTCTAAAGCGGAAAATGGCCCCCCTGCTGGTTTTATGGGCTGTCACGGCAGCAGTAGTTTTCATATCCTCGAAAACCAAGAGGTGGAACTGCTGCATTCACTGCGACTCTGCTTTGACACACAGCCAGACACACAGTTCTCTCCTGGCCGTGATAAACTGATAGCAAACACACTGGGCAGTCATGCATGGAGAAATACACAAGTGCAGACGGCGGCAGGGAGGTGAGGTGCAAATACAATCCACACACAAATACAGTACAGACAAATGCAAACACACACACACACACACACACACACACACACACACACACACACACACACACACACACACAAGTGCTGAGCTTTGATATCAGCTTGGTTTAATTGAGGGAAATAAAATCACAGCACTTGACAGCCACAGGGACCAAATCAACACATTTCATTTGACTCACTGTTTCCTGCCAATTAAATAATGAACATTTTGCGGGAAATGAAGTGTAAACATATAAACTGGCCTCTCTCTGTAATCCTCTTGCTAATAGCTTTTGGCCATAGTTGGAGGTCAAGAAAAATGATTTGGCCTCTTAGCTGTTCACTTTGTTCTCCACTAGTCTGACAACTGTCGTCAACAAGCCTAACGGGAGAGCAGATTAAATTGATGTAATTAGCCTCCACCGTGACTCAGCCAGGTACCCCCGAAGAGTTGCTATACCTAATTATAAGTGTTCGGCATGGCTAAACACATCAGTCTGTCACTCATCACACTGTCTAATGGGACGGGACACTGGAGGACAGATTATGCCTGGGAGAAAGTGAGTGGTTGCCTTGGCGATACTTGCCGTATTTTTATTTATTTATTTATTTATTTTTTTTAATTTTCTTTGGTGATTCAGCAATTATGTCAAGTGCACAAGTGGGTGCAGAACAATATTAAGAACCTAACAGCAGGAAGATGTTCGTGATTATGAGATGAGGAGGATTTGACACTGAGGCCCAAAAGGAGCGAGAGAGAGAAGTGTTGCACTAATGAGGCAGCACAACATCTGAGAGAATGTCTTGTTATCAACAGCGCAACACGGCTTTTTAAACTTTCAGCGCCGGCAAGTTTCTCTAAACAAACCGAGCTTGTTTTGCCGGCAACTTTGTAGGTTACACTGAGTCATAAACTTGATAAAGATAAAATAGACAAAATACAGCATTTGTGCAGTTATGACATCATCCAAGATTTAAAAGAAAAACGGCAACTAAAAGCTCAGAGTTCACCTGTACTCTGGGAAGTGCCATCTCGGCCGCCCTGCACTCGACTGCACTGCTGACCGTTCATCACCGTAACTCACCCTCCGCCTTGCAGGTCTTAGTGACGGGGTCCATCTCATAACCTTCGTAGCATTCGCACTTAAAATCCCCCTTGTAGTTGATGCAGATCTGGCTGCAGGCGTCGGGGTTCTCACACTCGTCAATGTCTGCAGAGAGAGGAAGGAGACGGGTTATCAATCAGCTGGAAGACAGCGAGAGAGACAGAGGCAATCAGACACAGACAGACAGTGACAGACAGTGACTAATTCACCCTCATGAGCCGCAGCAGAGCAGAGGCAACTTAAGTCCTACAATATATGTATATATATATTCATGCTTTTTAGTTAAATAACAGCTATAACAGGTGAGTGAAAACACACATTTGTGGCTGTAAGTGCAGGAGAAACACAGACATGTTGCCATTTAGAAGAAAGAAGAGGACAGGGAGACAGGAGGGTGTGTCCCTGTCCACTTCAGGCTTTTTCCTTGGGTGTGATGGGGAAATGGTAGTGTTAAAAGGACGGGGAAGGGTGTGAAGGACATAGTATGTGTGTATGCGCATGAGTGTGTGTTAGTGTGTGTGTGTGTGTGCGCGTGCAAGAGACTAGTATGACTGTGCTAAGTTCCCTGTGGGAGTGATGGACTGGGCACACCAAACAAACACAGACAACCAGAGAGCTGCCTAAAAGCCACACACACACACACACACACACACACACACACACACACACACACACACACACACACACTAGGTTAAACAGCAGCCTGTCTGCCCCTCTTTTCATCTATCCACCTGAAATGTTTCTCTTTTTACCTCCACAAGTCTTTTTGTCCAGCAGCTGGTAGCCGGTGGGGCACTGGCACTCAAAGCCGATTGGTCGGTCCATGCAGACATGAGAGCAGCCGCCGTTGTTGATCATACATTCATTCAGCCCTGGGAGAGAAAGAGAAGGCGCCAGCGGTCAAATGCAGCCAATCACAGAAGAGGTAGGCAGGTTATGATCCTCGAGGTGAACATCTGAGTTAGGAAAGGCCTCAGCTTCATTCCCTATAAAATCTTCCAGAGTGAGGGGAAGAGCAGTGCGTGTGTGTGGCACACAGGTTGGGAGAAGGGATGTCATCTTCACTATCTTCATTTTATCTCAGCTCTTGTGCTCAGCTCTTTTCCATCCCTTTTTGAATCCATATCAGATATTCTCAAAAGTGGAGGAGGAATCAAAGAGATACGACATCACACACACAGTAAGCTCTTAAACTGAGAATCAGGTCCATCTGCAGGGATATGAAATATGTGTGTAGAGGGGATTAATGCTGTGAACTGGGAGGTCCCATAAGGATCCATCACAGGAGCGAGCGAGGATATCTAAATTAGACAGGCACGCTGAATCGATGCAGAGTGATGTAAACGCATCCTGAAAATGACAGAAGCTTAAAAACAAAAAAAAGAAAAGAAAAAGATGTTAAAACACAACCACTCATTTAAAACTAGGTCAAAGCAGCTGGCACAATGCTGGCACACAATAAAGCAAGCAGAGGCAGTCAGATTGTGCTACACACAAAGGGTTTATGAATTACTTGATCGCAACACAGGCTCAGAAGTCAGTGGGTGAGATTTTAGGTTCAGTTTTTAAATCTCCTCCAGAAATTTGTTCAGTATAGCTGAGGACAAAATACCATCGTCACCTGGTGGATATAGCAGCATTTTTGTATCGTTTCTTTGTTGCACTGACAGCATTTATCAGCAGTGTATATGAACTAATTATAAAGCTATTATATTATATTATATTATAACCAACAGCGTGTCATCAGGACAAGAACTTTCTGTTGTCTCACAACAAACCATAAACGAAGCAGTGTGGTGCTACAGAGAATCATATTCTCCAGACCTGAGGGAACATGCTTGTTTGGTTCAGACACCAGCAAAAATCACATTATCATCATCTTTATATTTTTTTCCAGTGAAAGTTAAATGCAAAAATTAGCCTACCATTCCCATTATAATTGAGACTGATTTTATTTGCATATCGTTTAGCCCCTAGTTAGCACACTATCAAAGTGGAAGCGATGTCTCTCCTTACACCTGATATTGCCAGTTTGCATTCATCATGAAATGCAAACTGCGTTGGCTCGTCTGTGGAGGCTAGCTTCACTACCTGCTGTTGCTATCTATCATGTCCCATTGACAAAGGCTGGGGCTTGTCAAGCAGGGTGAGTGGGTGGGGGGGTGTTATTGGACGTTTGCATGTGTTATTGGGGGTGTTATTGGACGTTTGCATTATCAGGTAATGGTAAAAAATTTTGAAGATTACCATAGAAGTGATATTCTTTCAAGGATGTTTTTCCTCTAAGCTTCATATTTGATACGTTTACTGTCAGTTGAAAGGAGTAATCCCAATATTTCTTGAGCCAGGAAGGAGTGCAGAAAGGTGAAGATGTCCAGGAAGAGAGCAGCAAGACGCAGGAGAGAGACTTCCAGCACAGGAAAGACGAGCAGCAGATGTCATGAGACAGAACAGGCGATGAATTTAAAAGAGATTTGCTACTATTACTGAATCGCATATTGAGATGGTGGTTTTTTGGCAGAAGTTCTAGTTGGTTCTTTGGCTCTGCTTGCCCATTTTTAAAAGTCATTTACTGCCACTGTCTTTAATGCAGATTTCTGTCCATGTTTGGTTTGAAAAAAAAAAGAAAAAAGCCTATTGTCTAAATGAATCATAGAAGGTAACCAGAAAACATTCTCTCCTACACTTCATTCAACTGCATACAGGCTTTGTTTTTTTTACACAAACAATTAAGCATGGCTGCACAATGAACGACTGACAACTGGAAAGGGATGATAAAGAGAAAAATGGATTAAACTGCGAGAGAAACCGCGCTCCTCAATACCACAGAGTGCTTATTTCTGTCAACAGTATCCTACCCAATCTACTGTAACACATTTGTCAATAGCCAGTGATCTTTATATCATCAGTCACTGAGAGCAAGGCCACTGTGTGTGTGTGTGTGTGTGTGTGTGTGTGTGTGTGTGTGTGTGTGTGTGTGTGTGGCCAGTGAGCCTTAAGCAAAGTGAAGCTTCAATGAATTCCCCACTAAGACACTCACTTCCAAGATAAAACCTCACGAGTTAAATATATAAAAAGCAAACTGAAAAATACACAAACCTTTTGCATGTTCACTTCACTTTTCACACCTCATAAATCTGTAATGTTTCCCTTTTGTGGATATTTGTCTGAGCAAGTGTAGTAGTGTGTGTGCTATTGTGTTAAATAATGAATAAGATATTACAAATTCTGAGAAAATCCTATGTGGATTTGCCAAAGACTTAATTTAAAAGGGTAGAGGCTAACACTTTTTTATGGGAGTAAAAAGAAATAAAAATATTTTAATGTTAAATTCATACACTCTTCTGTGTTTCGACAGAAAGCTAAACTGCATTTTAACACAATGTGTATGTGTGCAGGTAGGCTAGCTTTACTTCCTCTTTTCCCTGGGAATGTACGAATTTTCTTCCCATACTTTCCTTTCAGTATTATCGATGTATACGTGATGTAACCTTAAACGAGTTTAAATGGAATATTCTCTAAATTATAGAGCTACACTGTTGCTTATTTTAAACCTACGATAACTCATTTGTTGCCACTTGGGGGCAGCGTAAACGAGCTGTGGACACGACGCTGACAACACGTTAGCAAACAGTTTATTCAGACATCCAGCAGATATGAAGCAACACTGGTATTTAGTTGGAGTCATTTCTCTGGCTACCTGATAATTGTAAGTCTAATATTCAAAAAGTGCGCAGACTTTTACCTGGTGCACCAGTTCTGCGAGTGCCGCAGAGCTGATTTTCTGAAATAATCAAATAGCCAATGTTATAATATCATAGGAGTTTTGTGGAGGGAACCAGGGTGATGCTAACTCTTCCCTGCGGCACTCCACACATCGACTGCAAGGACTAAAGAAAACCAGTTCACCTCACCCATGGAGCAGTGAGGAAAAACAAAATCTAACATAACAATATTCTTTATTTATAATAACAACAAAAAAGATGAAGTTGACTCTCCACAGACCGACTGAAGGTTAAGATTTGTGGGTAAATTCTCATCTTTGCTTTGTGCCGGTCGACTCTGTATCCGCCGGCATTAAATTCTCACCTATAATTCAGCTAAATGGGTGACAACAATCTGTCACTCCCAGCAGCTCCGTTTACTTTCTTTCTGTCAGTTCAGAATTAACTGCAGACAAAAGAAAAGACTAAGATGAAGCTGTATGTGAGGACTCACTTATCCCTGTTTCTTTGAGAAGAGCTGGGTGGGAAACAAAGACGCCCCAGGGGAGGCCCCTGTGTGAAAACATGAACTGCTTTTTCCAGACTGCTTCCAAGGACACGATTTAGAGGTCACTTCTCCTTTCCCATGGGCAAACAAAAGACAACGTCTCTCCTTCTCTCCTCCGCCTCCATCTCTCTCTCTCACCATAATGTCCTACATATTTTCAGCCGTTTCTCTGAGTGAAAACAGAGAGCGATGGTGCAGCGTTCAGAAATGAATGGCGTGGCGAATAATGAGTCAGTACTGTGGTAATATGCCATTATTTTTAATGAGGTGTGAAACAGAAAAAAAAAAATGCATGAGTAGAGTAATGTATTGTCTAAGTTGATCAGGCAAATGCAATCACACTGAACATCTACGGATCAGTGTGTTTCAGTGCAGTGGGGAGTATTATTGTCTCTGTGTGGGGTGGGTTTTTTTTTTGTTTCAGTTGGGGAACATCTTGTGGATAAACAGATGAGTGAGCAGAGCGATGAGCGAGGTGTGTGTGTGGACACGCTTTTAATGAGCTGAGAACAAGACCTGAGTTGAAGGAGAGACGGAGCAAGAATAACAGAGGAAGACGAGGGAGGAAAGGAGGAGACTCTGGGATACCTGTGTCGGTCTTGTCGTTTCTGCCCCTGGCAGAGGTCAGTCTCCTCTGCCAGCTGTCACTTCTCCCTCCTCAACTTTCTCATCCTCGGAGGAAAATTTCATTTTATGAGTGCATGCCTGCTTCTCACCGTCTCTAATGCCTGAAACTTTCTGATTGGTGTCTTCAACACGGAGGGAATTAGCACACACGCAATGTTCAGTTTCTTTAACTAAGACATCACCATCATTTATTCATGGTCAATAAACAGGTTAAGAGACGATGGTGTGTGGAGTGAAGAGGAGAGATGGAGAATAGAGAGACCATCGCAGAGCAGAAGAAGCCCCTATTCTATCGTTTGATGGTAATTAGTACACGCAGGCTCTTGTTCTGATCAACGGAAGCTGCAGCTCATTTGAGTGCGCTTCTAAAGCCTTTGAAATGCGAGGTAATAGGAGGGAGGTAGCCGCATTTTGTTATGGCAAACACGATTACGCTGCTACATTAACTGCTTGAATCCATTTACAATAGATACGTACGTGCTCTCTCGCTGCACGAGGCTGAAACAAAAGCTCTGCGGACACACACACACACTCAGTCACACACACACACTCACACACACACATAACAAGTGATGTGTGTGTAATGTCACTGCTGAGCATTTCACACAACTGGGAATCGTGGAAGAAGCTCTGACCTATGAGCAGAGCGGACTAAAAAAGCAACACACTTCATTTGCGTCAAGCGTAAAACAGCTTTTGGCAACGGCCGACAAAAAAAACAGAGAAAGAAAAAGTCGTCTTACCGCACTCTTTCTTGGGCTCATCGGATCGGTCCTTGCAGTCCTTGACAGAGTCGCACACCTTGGAGCTGTCGATACACTCTCCATTCTTACACAGAAACTTCAGCGGTCCCTCACATTTGGTGGCTGTGTAAAAATTAGCAGAAGACAGATCAGCAACTGCATCAGAAACTTCAGGAACATTTATTTGCATAAGCTACTGATTCAGAAGCTCATGCATGCAAAAAGTGTGTGAAGTCAAATTGAATATCTCCAGAGTTGCCTAATTATTGAAGACTCATGTGAAACAAGTGATGGCAAAAAAAAAACAAAAAAACTTCCCGCTCAGATATTCATATCATCCAACATAAAAATTCTAGTGTAATAAAAGCTGAACTTTAATTTGGTCCAGTTTCACAGTGCTGGGGTTTAATCTCCTGCAAAATAATTCTGCTCTACGCTGGTAAATTATGCATCTCAGTCAGAAGAGGTGAGAAGGAAAAAAATTGGCTTACAAAAAGCAGTGGGCTGGATCCAGACAACATAACATCAATGGTCATTAAAGCAAATGATTCAAAAGTAATATATGTCCAGGCTAGAATTACCGCCGCAATTCACGGTTGTTTGCCTCCGCCAACCAGTCACGCTGCAGTTTACATCCATGTCTGTCCACACTCACAATATATGTAGTGAAGACTTTGAGGGAATTTAATAGTTTTAGTTTTAGGGTTGGCCTATGACAACCAAAATTTAATCAGTTCATCCTTGTGTCCAAGTGAACGTTTGTGCTGAATTAGAAGAAATTCCCTTAAAGTGTTCCTGAGATATCGCGTTCACAACAATGGGACGGACGGATTGACAAGCCAAGAGCATTCTGTCTCCAGGCCTGGCTCTCTCCAGCACGGAGGCATTAGGAATCCCATGTAGAAAGCTGTTCTGATTCATTGGTTTTCTTAACACAAACCAGACTTAAACACTTAAACTGAAGTGAGAAAGCAGAGCAGACACGCAAATATACAAGGGCCAAATTATATAATCAGTGTTACACAGGTTGACATTTACAAAAAGGCATTTATAAATATAAATACTCGCAGACGCAGCAACAAATAGGAAGGAAGATTCAAACAGACACATCCATAAAAGAAGAAGACAGGTGAACAGACAGAGAGGAGGACAGGTTGTGGCAGCCAGCGATGACATGCGTACCCACCGTTGACACAGCCAGATTCATCGCTGTGGTCGGGACAGTCATGGACCTTGTTGCACTGCTTGGTGCCGTGGATGCAGGAACCGTCACCACACTGGAACTCATCGGGACGACACGTCAACAGGGCTGCAAGAGGCGCACAAACACACATATGTGAAATTCGGGCGCTATTTTAACGGTCCAAAGCGCACGGTGTAATGAGGCAGGTGCATTCAGGGCGTGTCCGTATCCACTTTTGCTATCACAGTGGTGGGAAAAACAGGATCATTGTTCAAATGGGTTGTACTTAGTCTCTTAGATAATCATGCGTGTGGTTCGGGCATAACATGCAATAAACCAATGAGAGTGCCATCTCCCATTCCCTTTAACAGCCAGGTGTGTTTACACCTTGGCAGATTGCTATTACAACGGAGCAGTGTTTCACGCAGAATTAGATTCTGTGTGTGGCGAGTTAATTACATATTGTGGCTGACCAGTGCGTCCAGTGAGGCACACGGAGGCAGCGGCTCTGTGCACCCCGAGGGGCTGAGCAAATCAATGCTTTGTGCACAGCTCTTTTATGTTATGTTGTGATTATTATAAGTGTAAATACATTTTTGGTTCATTGTGAACCGAAAAGGTGGCGATTTATCATGAACTAAGAAACAAAGGACGGTTTCACTGCAGAGCTCCATTCACGTCCAAGAAACCTCCATGACGCATAGCAACGTTATACAACCCACAACATGCCACACAGGATGCTCCGATCTTTCCAGGGCTGTATTGTAATGTTCCACCTGACTTATCCAACCGTCTAAGTGCATTTTCAGCACTTAGATTTAAAGAGCGTATGTGCGTTGTGCACCCACCTATGTAGGCGTATGTTATTCTCTGGATAATATGCACTTAAAATAACAGTGAAATACTGCGCCGCTGACTTAGTGCCAGATGTTCGTTGGTCAATCAGTCGCTTCCCACTGCCTCATGATAGCGATGCGCCAACAATGCGCCTGACCACACCTCATTTTAAGACCAACACACCCTTGGGTGCTCAGGTGGGTGCAAGATTATTCGCTATTTAAACAATGTGGGTGCCGGATGAGAAAATGACAACTGCGTCGATCCCAAAGTAGAAAAGACATTTGTGTTAAGCCACTTTGTGCCGCTTTGTGTAAAATAGGGCGCTTTAAATCCCTTTTAATACCAAAACCAAGTCGAGAACATTCGTTGCATTTATCAGTTTTTATCAAGTCTCTCTACTTTCACCTGTTGAGCAAAGGCAGGAAAATCCCCAGTGTGCAATAACATATACTGCACTTCTATGCATTCACAGCCGGTGTTCGGTGCTGCTTATAGGACAGAGACTGTTAACCTGGGGGCCTGTGATGAATTATTTTCAATATAGTAATGCAGCCACACCAAATTTCATTAATATCTCAAGCACAGACAAGCTTTTCATCAACAGGGCACAGTCTGCTCATATAAGTCCTCTCTCAACCACACTAAAAGGCCGTATATATGACTGAGGGGGATTTGATTTAGTGTTATCACAAGACGAGCAGGACACGGGGAGTATAATGGAGCCAGGGCTGCTGCAGCCCGGACGCACACATGCACACATTGGTGCACATACATATACACAACATCATCTTCTATAGAGTCTATATACTCTGAATCTAGAGATCGATCTACAGATCTAACTGCCAAATAACCTGCTGCAGCATACAGACATTTTGTTCACTTAAAGGGACAAGCAGCAAATTCTGAAATATATTGTTGAAGCACAGCAGTAGCTTTTGTTTTTTAGCTGAAGAGTGGGCAGAGAATTAAATTTTTGTGGCAAGGCAATGCCCACATAGACATATGTGAATATAAAAGAGGTGGTGAAGGCACAGCATAAATGGCTTCTACAGTAACCTCTGGTAATATACGAGGTTGGTCGTCTCCCTTAATGCGGGGATTCAGCTGGTTAACAAAACATCAATCTCTTGTAAGGGCTGCTTATATGACACCGCAGAGTGTGAGTGGTGGGCTTGAAGTGTGCACCACACATCTTGATAATGAATAGTGGGACTATCTGGGCTTCACACTCTGGCTTAGTGAGACAAGAGCTTCAGGGCTCCCCCATCCATGACCAGCTAATAGGAAAACCTGTTTTATCACAAAGCCCCATCTTCACACGGTGTTTATCAACAGCAACACATTCTTTACCCGACACATTTAGAAGAGGAAGAAAAAAAAAAACACACCTACACTAACTCCCAGCAGAGTGGAAATGTGCTAAATGACAAAGTAACACCTTTAGAAGCGGCAGGACATATATTTTGTTGAGATTTTCTTTCCCCCACTCTCCAGTCTCAAAGCAGACAGATATCTTAGGTGCAAACTGTCCACACACAGATAATGTACAACATAACCGACCTCCAGCGCAGCTACCTCTGGATGTGTGGGCTTTTGATTGGTCTGCAGCCATCTTTGAATAAGATGTTGTAGTGCACAGAATCAAAGGAAAACCAGCAGCCTCCAGCTGGAGAGATGAGCTGTGTACCAGCTCCGTCCTACATACTAATCACAAACAGTATGTACTATATGTTAATTGCCATAATATACTGTGGTTTGTCTTTTCAGTTGGTACACAAGACTTGCATGTAGTTTAAAGGAAATTACACAATATGTGTCTGAACCTCACAAAGAGAAAACTAAATGCTTTTTTGAAAGATTTTATCTCTCGCCCATTTTGTTGTTTTCCAGGAACTGATATTTAATTCAGTATTTTTGCAACTACAAATAGCGCCTACATTTTCCTTGGGAATTGCATTGTGGGAAAAAATATTAAACTAATTAATTCATTATATAAACATCGAACAGAACACGCAAAAATCAAGCATTTTCAACATGTGTACTGACCTGCTTAGAATTAGTATGTAATATAGGACGCAGCTATAGCCTCTTCAGGTAACCATGGTTACATGCGTACTGTGTTCTGTCGCACTGAAACCAAGCTTCAACCCAGTTGCATATTCTTTATGTAGCAACAAAAACCCTTTCAGACACAGCAACATGTGAGACGAGAGGACGGCGGTGATACGACAGAGAACATGTAGACGTTCTTACAAGGTTGAGAAGAAAGCCACAGGGGAGAGTTCAGCATGTGAGGAGACAGGAAGAGAAACTCACGGCAGTCCGATTCATCAGACTTGTCCTTGCAGTCCGGGTCTCCGTCACATTTCCAGGTCAGTCGCACGCACTCCCCGTTGGCACAGCGAAACTCTCCGGCGGTGCAGTTCGCCCTGCGGTTGGGCAGGTACGGGACCCCGTCCCTGCCGCAGCGCTCCGGCCCCTCGTCTGAACTGTCGGAGCAGTCGGGGTCTCCGTCACAGCTCCACATGAGCGGCACACACTCCGAGGTGTTACAGCGGAGGTGGTTGGGCCCGCAGGTGAGAGGGGAGGTGCATTTGAGCTCATCGCTGCCGTCCCCGCAGTCGTCGTCACCGTCGCATACGTAGACGGTGGCCAAGCACTTGCGGTTGGCACACATGAACTCACCGCTGGGACAGGCCTTGGCATCTGGAGGACCCACAGAAAGAGCAAAATCATTAGAGAGAGGTTTGAAGAGCAAATGAGGGAGGGAAGGTGTAGCATTTACTTTGAAAATACAGTTTTGTCAATATGCTGTTACTTTATCTCCCTATCTCCCAGAACCAAGCAAGGTGAAGCTTCCTGAGCCCCTGAGACCTGCTGAGACTGTCAGCTCATTTAAATAAGGCCTTAAAACATTACGACAGTATTTGTTGCAGCTCATCAATAAATCACATGCAGAACATCTTTTTAATCTTTATCACTGCAGCACTTCTCTGAAGATGGGGTCTTAAGTTTCCTACCTGATTTTATACAATCTTGACCTCATCTTATAGTCAACTTAACTTAATAAATATTCTTTCTTATTTGATTCATTCAAATATCTCCATGGCTCTGTGAAGCACTTTGAATTGCCTTGTGTCTGAATGGTGCTATATAAATAAACTTGTCTTGCCTTAATAGCTGAAAAGTGGAATCTAATGAATAATATTAAAGGCCTGACCATACTCTGCAGACTGTAGCTATTCAAATCCTATTGGCCTAAATTAGCTTCAAACCGAGGGGCACAGAGACAGGAAGTGAGATTGTCAGGCAGGCATAAAAAAGTCAACATTGGTGTCATAACTGTGGAAGAGACAGAAGGGAGAGCTGAAGAGGAAGGAGAGGGGAGGACAGCTGACGGTGAGAGGTTTCCTCTCCTGAGGAGTGAAAGACAATAGATCTCTCTCTGCCAGCAGCCGGACCCTCTCCTCCCTCTGTGATGGATCAGCAGCACAAATGCCAACATCCTATAGGTTGAAAAGAAATGTGATTCTACCTTAATAAAGAAGTAACTAGCCCTTCCTGCATGACTGAAAATGTTTCTGAGCAGGAGGGAGAAGTTCTCTCTGTGCCAGTCCTCTTCACCAAGTCAACCCTCAAGGTTTCTGTAAATCCTTTTCTCTCGCTCTCCATACCTTTTCCAGCTTCCTCTGGCTCTAGTCATGTCTGGCCAAAAGCACTCAGGCTGTTAAGTGAGTGTTGGGGGGGGGGGGGTCGTCCCACTGTGAGCAGCAGCGCAGAGGCCAGCACAGGGAGAAGCACAATTTGATATTTATACTAAACCACACGGGAGTTCAGCTTCGACACCGGTGCCGTTGGCTGTTAGGACAGCTGTTAAGGAAAGGACTGCTGTTTTAAAAGTGGATTATAAAGCATACTGTCAGTGACCTGCAGCAGCTTTTTAGTTGTTTTTTAACAGATACAGTACAGCTTCCTGGTCGAGGAAATAACTGCGAGTTCAGTATCAAATTTCACGCTAACAAGCTAAACCCAGCCCGTCCCGTCTCATCATACTACTACATGATAGTCAGTCACCGTGGCCTCCAGTCTCCACGGTCGGCTGCAGAGAAAACTTACATATAGCACCTTTACACGGCTACAGAACAAACCAGATCGAACTTCTCTGGATGGACATTCAAAGCATCACCGCTAAACTCAAACACAGAGCTTGTGCAAGAAAACAGAGAAATGAAATATCATATCATAGCGGAAAGCCATGAGCATTTCCACGTGTCGAGTTAAACTGGGTGGACATATCCTCAGCTGGAAAAAGCATTGTCCTAATTACTATCCTATGTAATTATACCATATGTTAAAGTCACTGTGTTTTTTTTTCTTCTTTCTTTGCAAACATTTAATTACTTCACTGCTCCCCTTGTGATTACCACAGAAGCACGGGGAAAATGAAAAGCAAGTGTTGTGGATTCAGTTCAGTGAAAGGGTTTATATTCATTAATATTAAACAAGCTCCATCTGATTCTGATGTGTTTTATAACTACTCTCCCTGTTATGCCCCTGCCCTCACTCCATACTAATTTGGCACTAAATAATTAAGGAGACTCAATAGACATGTACATTATAACACAGGGGGAAGACCATTAGTAATGTACATGAGTGGCCTGGTTACACTTGAGAGAGACTTTGTTTTCCAGTGGGGGCACTATGTAAATGAATTTCAAGACTTTTGAGCAAGTTTGAGACCACAGACTGTCTGCGTATGATGTTGTACCAGTCGGAGGGTTTTAAATGGTAAATAAACCACAGTGGGACTCGCTCAGTGGGTTGTTTTGTCAGACTTATTATCCATCTTTTGACTTAATTTTGTATGGCTGCTAGAGGGAAACCAGAAAAATAACACAGTAAACAATAAACGGGTATGTACAGCGGCTTCAGAAAGTATTCAGGCCCCTTGACATTTTGTACAAAGCTTCACGAGTTCTGTCCAGAGATGAGAGAATCTGCCGGAAGGAGAGCAGCTAGACTGGCTAATACCCCCCCTGTGGTGAAGGATGGTGGTGGCACATTAAGCTATTGGTGGGGGAGGGGGGGGGACAGGGAGACTGGTCAGGATTGAGGGAAGTGATGAATGCAGCCAAATAAACAGAGGGCTCCAGAGTGCACGCGACCTGAAGCACTCGGCCAATAAAATGCCGCAGTGGCTTCTGCCGCGATGAAAGGGATAAACCGCCCAAATCCAGGTGTGCCAGGACACTTGTCCAAGAAGCTGTAATTGCTGCCAAAGGGGTTTCTACAAAAAACTGAATTAAGGGTCTGAATACTTTTCTAAATGAGAGATTTCCCTTTTCGTTTGCAAAAAATTCTTAAAGATGTTTTTACTTTGTTATTATGGGTTATTGAAGTTGTAAACAAAATGGACAAAAACATGCAGCCAGCTGGAGACGTCTTTTCTGAGGAAAGAATGAAGAAAGTGGCAAAAAAAACCAAAAAAAACTAAAACCATTAGTCTGACCAAATTTAATTTAGGAATAAGTTCACAGAATCAAATTGAAAATACACAATAATGGTCAAACGATAACGCTATTAATATTCTAAATTCACAGAGAGATTTACACTGGTGGCACACAGTCCTGCGTGGCCCCCTCCTCCCTCTCTTCTATGACTACCGCCATGGCACTCAGAAGCTGGCAGCGAAACCCACTTTACTTTTTCTGGCAGTTCTGATGATGAGAGAGCGTTGCCAGCAGCAACCAGTGGCTCAGATGTGGAGGCAAGAGATGACTGGTTGTTCTACTCAGTTTAGCATTGCAGCTGATGAGTGTGTGCTGCGTGAATGTTTGTGTGTGTGTGTGTGTGTGTGTGTGTGTGTGTGTGTGTGTGTGTGTGTGTGATGAGTTTTGGATGCATGAAAGAAAAGTGTGAAATGTAAGGAAATAGTTTTTCATGCAGGAGGAGGGAAAGAGGGGAAAAGGGTGCGGTGAGATGAAAAGAAAGACATGCAGAATGTGTTTAAGGATGCAAAAACAGTTATTTATTTTTTTATCTGTGCACGCACAAATACCTCCGAGCACATCAGTCAGTGTCTGTGCAGCTCAGCGTCCTCGGAGTTTTCTCATAGGTATTCATAGATGTAAACTGAAGGGACAGTTCAGACCTGTCCGCTCCGCTCAAAGAGCTGAGGTCTGCTTTGCAGCAACAGCCACTGCAGCAAGGTCAGTGGAATATACACACACACACACAACTTCCAGAAAAGACAAAGCCAGCATGGTAGAAACACACACACACACACACACACACACACACACACACTGCTGGCCACTTGAGACAGGTCACAGTACCTCACTGGGGGAAATAACTCTGTGACCGACCTTTCCTGTGATGCCACACACACAATTACAGAGCAAACACAGCTGCAGCAGCAGAAGAGACTTGTCTCTCTACAGTAACAACCAAGAGAAGATAATACAGGACAAGATGGGAGTCAAAGTGAAGGGAGTTTTTAACATCCTCTCTGACATCATTACTCCGTGGGGGACGGCCAAGGAGACAGAATGAGTGCTGAGATGGGAACAGAATAAACACTGTTTACCTAAACTGAAAACCTGTCACCGTTTTTATTAACAGACTGAAATTAGGAGGAAATTTAGTTTGCGGAAACGTTTTAGTCGTGTAAAATGGTCTCACGTGAAAGCCTCATCGCTGGGGATGCACAGTGTCTGCCAGTTCAGTTTCACCACAGAGACAGGGAGACAGCTGTAAGAAGCGCAGCAGGTAATTGTTTACCTCATACTATCCAAGCAGCGTTAAATATGAATAAAGAAAACAAGCAACACAACAACCTCACAGGAATATCATATGCACATACCAGGCAGTCAACGCAACCTGCCGCTGAGCGCGTGCAAATGGAAACACACGTGGAAACACGCAAATCCAGACGGGCTCCTGTGCCTCGCAGTACATCCCGCCATGCAGGCGTGTTCAGGAGAGACGCCTCGGCGAGTAAGTGCACATTAATCTCCACATCGCTGAGGGTTGAGGACACAGTTCAACCTTCTCTTGAGCTGCTGCTTAATGTAATGTTGATCAGGGAAAGCTTCCTCTGGTGAGGGCTAGTTTCTACTTAATACATAATTCATCATGTGGATGACTCAATTAGCAAGATGCCTCTGCAAGATTTACTTTTTCGAGGTCTGCAGTGGGTTTTGCACCCTGAAAATTTCGACTAATAGCAGAGCGCACCGAGGCTAACCGAGTGCGCTCCGGCTCAGTCAGTTCTGGGAGCGTAAAGTCTCTGTTCACGCTTGGGTAAATGCCGCTGAGAGTGTGTGTGAATGTTTTGCTCTCTGTAAGCAGGACTGAGCACGAGCGTGCCGTGTGTTTCAGGCAGCTAAAGGAAGGTTCACGTTGATGCTTAGACAACTTACCGGCTCAGTGAAGTTCCAGCTAAATCCGACTGAATTCCAACGTGGATTTGTGAAAGTTCAAAGGCAAAACTAAACAAATACATGCATGATAGGTGAGAGAGAAATGGTAGTATACAGTATATATATATAGTATATACATTGCTTTGTGAACTTTGAGGTTTTGTACATTACAAGTTTTGCACTTCTGGTTCCCTCGTCTAGAAGTTGATGGGTTTTTTTTTAATGGGTTTTTGGTGAGATGCCTGAAATGAGGTCTGTGGTCTGCGGACGGCATGAAATACATCAGTAAACACCAAGCTCATGATTTATTTAAGCTGTTACGTCTGGTTGCTAACAAGTGGCTAAAGGAGACGTCATCACACGGAACATGAAAACTGATCTACTCACCGTTCCTCCTTTTACATTGTGTTTATACTCGCGCTTTTGCAAACTATCATAAACTTTCTAAGACTTCAGAAGAGGAAAGTTTCCAAATCGAACTAGAAGTTAGAAGTTTAGAAGTGGTGATGTTGAAGTCATGAAACCGTCCTGCAGTTTGTTTACAGCCTAACATTAGCTTTTTACTTCCGGCGATTGTATTTATGCTTCAAAAATCATAAAAGTGGTGTTTATTTGTGAAGATTATTATGTTGAACAACAAACTTTTATTTGCCACAGATCTTATTTTCTGCATTAATCCAAAAGTCAGTGGAAAAGTCCCAGTGGCTTTCTGTTGAGGGAACCAGGGTGACGCTAACGTGCAGGTTGGCCTACAAAAAGACATCACCCCTGCAGCGCTCTGTAAAGCCACGAGGTGCAGTGAAGGGGAGCACGACTTGATGTGACAGTCACCGGAAAAAAAAAACTTTGTTTTGATTTTCCCTGGTGGGTCCACACAGCGCTGCAGGACGCCAGGTCATCAGAACTGTCCATGAAATGATTTCTACGTCAGTCCATGTGAATTCACGTCTACAGCTATCGGGTTGATTTTGATTAGTTTGTGTAAACATGAAACAAACTGGCTACATGTGCTGCTTAGGTGGAGTCTGGCTGTTAGCATCCACACTGTTTGAACAGCACGAGGCCACGACACAGAGGCAGTGAGGTGTTTCTGTCGAACAGAAAGAAGAGGGGAAGAGTTTGTCTTTTTACTTCTGGACACACGTGACGAATCACCTGTGTTGTGTGTTTCAGGAACGTACATCTTTCAAACCCCTCATCCGACCTGCTGAAAGGGGCTTTTCACCGCTTTCAGACTGTCTAGACAGGGCGTGTCAGGGATCATGTGACCACCCTTCACACTTCAACACAACAGGTGTGAAACAGAAGAGATGACAGAGTCACTGTTCAATCTCAAATAATGTTGATTCTGCTGCGGACAGCCACAGACACACCGGGGGATTCCTCTCAACATTCAATGCTCAGCGGTGCTGTAGCGGCAGCAGACCTTTAATTTATGCTTCAGTATTCTGAATGAACTGCATCCAGACAAGACTCTGTCACTTAGAACCACATTTCCAGCTGCGCAGGCTGAGGCTTGCAGCTGAGCCTTCGCTGGCAGGAGCAAAATGCAACAGGAAACATACACTGTTCATTAAAAAGCTTTATTCTCACTCTTCTCTCACGATGACTGCTGCTGCGTCATTTCACACAACTTCATTCATTCATCTTCTCCCTCTGAACTCAAACATACAGCAGAGTTAATGCTGCTTTGAAGTCAATTCTCCAGCTGCCCCACGTGCCAACAGCTAGCCTGCAACGAACAGACGCACTGAGACGCACTCAAACTAACTGGTAATTTCCATCACTCCTTCCTCGCTTCTCGTCATGACTTTAAATGTGGAAGATCTAAAGCCTTCAGTCTGCACTTCTGAAGAGTGATACAGCATGCAGTGTTTTTGAATAAGGAAATTATCATAAGCGCTCAGCTCTAATTCTGTCAACTGTAACTTCTTTTGAGCTTGCATTCGCAACAGGTTTTGTGTCATTTACAACACTTTTAACCACACAATAGGCTCGCCACTAAGACTGCTGATTTGACAAGTCTCCAAAACATGGAGTATGCTCAAGGACGACGATTCCAATGTTTCCTGAGTGTTTTTCCACTGTTTACTCTTACAACAACCAGACGTTTCTCATGTTGCAAAATGGTCCAAAATGAACATCATTCCTTATGGTAGTGGGCTAAATCACAAACACAACAATGACAAACTGATGCTTGGTGCCTGGAGATCTGCAGTGATGCTACATTGCATCGCATTGGACCCAATCAGTCTTCAGATACACCGGCCGGAGCAGCACTTCACAAACCTAATTTGTGATGCTGTCCAGCGCCGTGTTGCTGACAGAGCCGGCCTCTGCCTCCTGGTCATGCTGAGCGGTGTTTACCTCTGGTGGGATTTCGGCCTTTGCCTGGGTGGGCGGCGGCCTGCTGCCTGCCCTCATGTCCCCACTGAGAGGCTTAAGACTGCCGCATCAATACAGACATTAGAATGAAAAAAGGATTAGCACAGGCTAGACTGGGTCTCAATGGGCAGCGCAGTGAAAAGCCATCTAAGCTAAGAAGGCATTAGATCTAAAGTCGATGGAATCGCTACTACTTGCTCTGGCATGAGTGTGTGGGGCCACTTTGAGATGGGGACTCTTTGACAGGCCACTTGCAGGCTGATCTGGCAAAAAAAACATCTTTATTGCGCCACAGATTAACCCTCTGAGGACGGGGGATGTTTCTATAAATATCTTTGCGATAATACAGCGTAGAAATATGATTTATATGTTGTATGAATCTGTAGACTCTTCACCTTCCCTTACAATTTCTTGCTAGATCATACGTGACTCACAGCCTCTAAAGTTTGGTTAAAGAAGAGTGACAGACGACACTACGACTCGGTGTTATTACAAAATTTCATTTTAGGCACCAAGCACCAAAACAATTCATCCACATCAGAAAAGGTTTGTTTTCACAAGATATTTGAAGAAATTCAAAAACCAGGTTTCAATTTTTCAGTATTTGAACCAAATTATCTCTTTGCGCAGTGATCTATGACAAAAATGGGCTTCGTTATAGAAAGAACTGAGATTGTTCTGAAAAAACGCTGGGGTATTATGTTATATGCAAGTACCTTTTAAGAAATTTATTTAAGAAATAATATAAAATTTGAGAAAATGCCCTTAGACCACAGAGGGTTAAAAGCACTTTCAAGGAGAAGTGAGTAAATATCTATTCAGACAGACTATTATTCTTTATTAAATGCCAAATAAATTCAGTTCCTTCTCGAAATAAAAACTCAAAATTGAGTATTTTCTCAACAAATAAACATGAGTTGGTTAGATGCCATGCAGTCACAATCTCAACACCCACCCACACACAAACAACTGAAAGGAACAGATGCCTGAAAAAACGAACATCATTTATAAAGGATAATAACGAGATGGCTTTTTTCTCTCCCCCTGTGCGTTTGCCGCCACGTGCCATTTTGCACAATCTTCAAAGTCTAAGCACCACACCCCCTAGAGCTCTGTTGCCTCAATCAATTTTTCTTGACGTGAAGAGGCAAGGGAGAGAGAAAAGAAGGAGCCGATTCTTCACGGCTCCTCAGAAGTAGGGCAAGGATAGTCCCTGCAGGGGTTGATGGGGGGGGGGGGGCAGCCGCACGGTTGAGTTGTCTGATTGGCTGTATATGAGGTGATGTCATTTTTGATGGTTCTGAGGGGCCCTGCAGTGGAAAGGCTAAAGACTCAAGGTTCAAAATGTGATGACAGAAGCATCCAAACATCACCAGAAATATCTGATATTCTCCTCCAGAAAAAACAAAAAACAAAAAAACATTGCACATCAAAGGGGACCTTGTTGTTGCAGCTGGCTTAAATCAAAACTCACTTCAAATCCCTCTAATTATATTGAGTGTTTCCTACTGTGCTTTAATGTCTTAAGCCCCTGGATGATAAGCGAGCTCAGAGAGGATGAAACCCTATAAAATAAAATAAAAAAAGCAGGAATGTGATTTCTCCTTAGTCCTCTGACTTCAAGCCTCGTCAAGTCGTTCGCTGCTGCTACATCTGTCATTGCCACTATTTGAACTAAAATACCCTGTTGAAATACAGTTAGCGCTGAAACGCAGAAGTGAAACCAGCAGAAACAAAGGCTCCTGTGTTTAGTTTATTTCCATCACAGTAGAGAACTGATGCCGAGAAACTCACCAGAAGCGCAGTCCTCCTCGTCTGCCCCGTTCTCGCAGTCCTTCTCCCCATCACATCTCCATGACAACGAGACACACTTGTTGGTGGATCCCCCACAGTCAAATTTCTCCGGAGGGCACGTCTGTTTGCCTGTGGGTAGAGATAGAAGAGATAGGGAGATTACTGCAGTGGTTTTATGGTCCCGTAAAGGCGGCAACAAAAAAAACAAGACACCACTGGACTGGATTTCTGTCGCCCCCACGATGCAGTTAAAACTCAACCAAGACTCCAACACTCTGGCCAATTGATTTTACTGTCTGGGCTGCATCTAAAGAGACGTGCAGAAAGATCATGAAATACAGCAAATGCACAGTTGGCTGTAGAGCAAAAGAGCCCCCCCCCCTTTCTCTGTTTCCCTGCCAATCTGCTCTAGTTGGCAGAGGGTGCGTTTGATCCAGATTACACTGCGTTTAATATGAAGCATGTTGTTAATTATACATTATACTTTGCTTACAGTGCAGCCTTAAGCCTCCCAGAATTACATCAAAGGGTCAGCATGCATGGCGAATCATTTAAAGGTTTGATTATTTCATTTTTTTCCTAATTATAATTAAGTATATTTTGAATGATTCCCAGCCTTTTTTGTCACACATGTACCACCTGTCAATGTGTTGTGAATTTTAGAATAATTTAAAATTGCTGTTATTTAACCGCGTCAATTATACAAAAGTGTATATTGTTGTATCAATGTAAATGATTGATGTTGATGCAAGTTTGTATTTATACTTCTTTTGGCTATTTCACCATTTATCCAACACTTTTAGCTAACTATTTCAACTGTTTATCCACTGGGCTACTTTAAGCTCCATCCATGAATTATAGCAAACTATTTCATCATTTATCCAACACTTTTTAGTTAAACTTTTTAACCATTAATCCATTAGACTACCTTGAGCAATCTAATGCAACCATTTTTTTAAGCTAATGCTATAGCTTTAGCATTGGTTTTTCTGCTTGTTAACTAGCTTTCACACACCCTAAATTGCATTTACAGATTATAGCTGACTCTACATGGACATATTCTTTTATATATAACATATTTTTTTAATTTGAGCTACTCCACAGTCTTTGGCACGCACATAATGTAAAAGTAAGTATTAATATCACTACCCTTTACAGTTGCATGTCAAGGTTAACTTTTGACAGTCATGTGAGCTCAGTGACACGGCTTCGCTACGGCTGATGAACAGTGTCACAGGAGGATCATTTGTAACGAGATGAACGAGAACAAACTCCATAATGAATCCCATTTATGAGGTTAGAACAGAATATCTGATGCTGTCACCAGCAATGTTAGCTGTAAACTGTATTGTGGGTAATTGGAGCAGACAGGGAGAATGTCTCCTGAGCCATATTTCCATGCAAAGCACATCTGTTCAAATGGAAATACATTTATTACAATGCTGCACTTAGGCTAAAATTGAATTCTGTTCTAGCTAATGTAAATCCAATATGCAGTGGGCTTTAATTATTAAATGAGCAACTGTATACAGTATATTCAAATACATTTAAGTTTGAATGGCAGGGTGTGTTTTAGCTTTCATTTGTGGTGCTTTTATCCTGGGTGAAAGGTTTTTCCGTTAAAATGCATGTTATTGTAGAAATGTATGTTTGTTTCTTGTATTTTTTTTTTTACTACAGTGTAAATTCAGTTCAGGTTGAAGTGCAATGCACATACATATATATATATATATATATATTGTAAAAAGAAAAACTTTTCTTCACAGTCAGAATAACGATGTTAATTTGCTTTGTAAACGAGTATATCCTGATTAAAATCCATGGTTGGGTGTTAATATCAATATCATATATATTATTTGAGAGTTTAAAAATCAGATAAATATTCATTGGTTGATATTCATTTAGTTTTTTTCAAAAATGTATTAATTTCTGACCAATAGTTTCGGTGTTATACATGGCATCATTCATCAAAGCAAAGTAAAAACACATATTATGACACCATAAACAAACATTTGTTTATGAAGCTCATTTAACTCTATTTAAACTTTTTATTTATCATTATTTGGCATTTTGTCACAGTGACAGATGCAGACAGGAAACAGAGGGAGCGAGAGACGTGCAATGAAGGTCCCCAACTCGGACTGAACGGGATATCAACTGCTAGACCACCAGGATGCATGTACAACATTTATTAATGACTTATAATAAGACGGTGAACTCTAATAAAAGAGTTAGATGTCATCAGGACAACCAGCAGTTGAAAGGCAAAGTGGGTGGGCGAGGTTGAGGTGACCACTCACAGGCAACCACCATCACACTGTTTATGAAGGCAGATTTTTCAGCCCTTCATTGCTGCCTCAATGTTACCGACCCCTGCAGCATGGAGGCGTGACACGGGAGATGTGGGGAGAGGAGGCTGGAGAGGCAGCTGGTGCCTGGGGAGGCCAAGCACTGAGAATGGCTGATGCAGCGGGGGCCCTGACCCCACATTAAAAAAAAAAAAAAAAAAGCACCACCCACTGCGGCGTTCAGAGGTTGTTTCTACAGCAAAGAACATCTCAGACTCAGTGAGACATTGTTCAGTATTTCTGTGTCCTGCAAGTTCCCTACAATCACTTTACAGTCCACAGTGTGAGGCCAGTGAACAAAAGCTTAATGTAATTCATACTATGTCACTCAACATTCAGTCGTACCAACTAAAATATTGTGCCACTGTTCACATCAGTGAAGTGCGTAAAACAGCAGGGTGGTAGGAGATAAGTGGAGTGATCTCACACACTTCACACACTTCCACCTGCCACCTCTGGCAAGTCATTTCCCTCATAGCTTATATTCATGAACGAGTTATGAAAACGATTTTTCATTTCTACCGTTTCTCTTTCGTGTGTTAGGAAGTTTTGAAAGTATTACCGAGGCAAAAAAGAGACATTAATTTAGGATGCGTGACAGTCTTTGATGTTGCCTGCGTCAATGCTAAATTGTGACTAATCAGTGAGAAATTAGTCACTTCTTCCGAGACACGACTGTCAAGTGAGAAAACAAGCTTAATAAAGGAACTAACTGAGGAAACTAAAAGACGAGGATGAGCTACAATGAATGATTATAACTGAGAACCAGATGACGGACTGGCTGGTCAGAAAGGAAGCATTTCTTAGTCTGAGACGAACGAGGCGAGGAGGTGGATTCTTTGAAAGTGGAAATAAGATGCTGCCTGAATGAATTCCAACTGTCATAGGTCCAAAAAGGACATGACAGACAACAAGAAAGAGGCCGAGAAAATGAAAGAAAGGGTGAGACAGAGAGCGGAACAGGAAAAAAAAAAAAAAAAAAAGAAGAAGAAGAAATGAAATTCGTAAGAATGGAGAGACGCCAAGAGCAAGATACTGTATAGAGGGAGAAGGGACGGTGAGACAGACTGCTGCCTGACCTTTAAGCTTCTTATCCTAAAGCAAAATCAAGGCCATCCATACTGAGTGGAAAGAGATGAAGGAGGAGAGGCAGGTGGAAGTGCAGACTCTGAATCCACCAAGCGGAGGGCGAGCTGCTGTCCTGTCCTTTTAACTGATGACTCTTTAATGAAGCGTGAGCGCAGTTTCCTCCCGAATCCAAACAAAGAGACAGAACTCGACTGCGACAAAGCGGGAGCCCCTCGCTGCCTCTTATGACAGCTATTGATTAGGGAAACCTGCAGATTTCATAACGACACAGGTAATCGGATTTTTGCTTGAGAAGGAGGCGACTTAATAAAAAACAATTACTCAGAGACAAACTGACTTCGTCGCTGTTGTTTATCATCAGAGTGAAAAATGAGGATTCATCTCCGCCGTGGCGTTTTGGCAGGAAATCTGTTTATACCCAAGGCAGTCTTCATCTCATCAGTACAATGGTGCAACAGCTTTACTTTTCATTAAAAAAGGGATATTTCTGATACTTGATTCTGACGTGCTGCCATTATAAAACACTCTACCTGCATTACATCACTATTAAAATATAATGTGTGAAGTGATGTTGTGATATTGCTGGTAAGCGACAACAGCCTGGGGAAAGTCAGCATAATAAGTGATTGATAGTAGATACATATGTGGTTGTAATGTGACTGCAACATGACGGAAACGTTTGTTTTCTTTCTCCCAACATTGAGAATACTAGACAGCCGATGGGGGTGAACTTCCTCGGCTTTGTAAAGCACAGAGACAAATCTACATCAACCACTGCTCGTGAAGCACCACTGTACAAAAACTCTCCGATGCTGGCCTGGAGGCAAGAGAAATCATGTCGTAACTAGTGGCATAAATGTGAATCATTCCTCCAATCTCCCCGGCGCCAAAGCTACAATGAGAGACGACGCTGGAGGAATAACCATCCTTCATACACCGCACAATAAAAACGCACTTGTACCACCCTGTAACACCCCTGCGGTGCTAGCAGGAGAGCTAACATGAGTGCTAACATCTTCGAAACACACCATTAACGGCGATATCCAGATAAATGTTAATAATTGCCCCAGTCTATAAGCATTTGTGTGCTGCTGCGTCTGTGTGTTACTTGGCAACCGTTCTGCGAAATGTCACAGAAGAACTACATTGCTCGGTGGAAGAATAATTATTTGCAATCAGTAAATTATTGCATTGCATACGTAGTCATCATTTATAAAAGCATATAAAACACTTACCACTGTGGCTGACATCTTTCCCTGCTCTAAGAATCTCTGTAAACCAAAGACTCTTGGGGATTATTACTTTATTTGATCGTCACAGTTGACCTCGTTATCGCTGATGGTCTTTTACCCTAAACTTGGCTTTCAGTGAAGAAGTGGAGAGGCTCTCTGCTGTCTATTGTCACCAGACATGTGATATAATACTGTGAACAACCTAATAAGCTGAAAAACGTTGTTGATCTGATACAATGAACTGCAGCGTCATAATGAATGTAACACTACGCTGTAGCTTGGCATGGAAGCAATAATTTGCAACCTATTCATATAAATTAATGTCTATTTTGCTGCTTTCAATTGCTAATGGATTTTGTACAATGGAGATTCAGCCTTCAATCGGCCGGTGACAGCTCTTAGACATGAATCTGTGCGCTCAGCATTTCGTGACAGCCCGACTTCTCTATGTAGCTGCCTC